CTCGGCTGCATTAGAGCTATTTGATCATTTTCGTTTTCAATATTTTGTTATCCTCAATTTAAAAAGAAAATTCAGTCATTATTGCTACGTTCAAAAAACTTTCTCCGAATTTGTAATGTGTGCAAAAATGCAAAACAAAAGGTGTTTTGGGCACTTTAATAACAATATGAAGGTTACGTACGCATCATGTGGTCTCGCACATCATTCGCCTAAAAGCAACCCCCCTATCAATCCACCACCCTCTCATCCACCAATCTTGACTTATCCCATATAAACCCCGTTTGACTCAAACTCTCTAACCCTACCCAACCGTGCTTCTGTGAACCTCATTACTCGATAATTGCACAGAGAATCCACAAGACTAGCCCGGTCTTGATGCTGATTACCCCATGATCCGATCTACCCATTATAGATCTCTCATAGATGCACCATCACTGGCTGGCCAACTAATCAACTCCAATTTCAATAGTCCAACTGGAAATTTCACCCACTTCCCTTTATTCCTGTTACATGCTAAATTATGAAATCAAGCATGCGTAAACAAACATTTTAGCATTAAAAACATTAAAGGCCAAAACATCAAAACGAAGAAATTCTAGAAAGTGCCTATACACCACAAGTGGGATTGGATGAATCTATCACTCGATAATTCTGGAAAGTTTTTGAGGAAGTGGTGCAACGAGGGTAAGGGGAGAGAAGTTGGTCATAGGAGGCGACCTCAATGGGCATGCTGACTCAAGTTGTGATAGTTTTGAGAGCATTCATGCCGGATATGGTTTTGGCACTAGAAGTGAAGCAGGAAAGAACATTTTGGATTTTGTCTCCACACATGAGTTGGCTATAATGAACACTTGGTTCAAGAAAAGAGACTCTCACATACCTATAAAAGTGAAGCTAATGGTACCCAAATTGACTACTTCTTAGCGTGGACTACTTAGAGATCTAACTACACCGATTGTAATGTTATCCCAAGTGAAAGTATTGTCACTCAGCATAGGATGTGTGTGCTTGATTTTTCAAGGTAAGAAGCATAGAAGACGGGTTGAACAACAAGTGGAGTCAAAGATAAAATGGTGGAGGCTCGAGGGGATCTCCAGTAAAGCTTTGCCCACAAATGCTTGGTGAAGATGTACGGTGTACTGATAATGACACAAATGTAACAGACAATTAATAAGGTGGAAAAGGAGATATTTGGGACACCAAAAAAGAACACATCTTGGTGGAATGATGAGGTGAAGAAAACCATAACAAACAAAAAGGGAATGCTACAAGAATTTGGGAAAAAGTTGGACTGATGAGAACATAGATGTGTAGAAGGAGGCTAATATCTCCAATATTAATCCCTATTATGCATAATTCTACAATAATCAGAAATTCATTGGTAGTGTTCTATAATTGATCTCATGTGACCATCAACCTGCTTAACCAGTAAAAACAAAAAAAAAATTAACAACCAGGCAAAGGCTTTCTCTCCCAACTGCAGGTCTAAGCACTTCACATTGAACCAAGCTAATGAGATGATGGCTAGGAGGAATAGGAATTTAGAAAAGAATTTATGATTTATCAAGATTTGGTTAATGTCCAACTCCTGCACACATCTAGCTTCCTTCTCCAATCTTCTACTTTATCGAAAAGATAAAAAAGGTTAAAAGGATAAAAGGATATAGAACATAAAAAAGATAAAGGAGATAAAACGATAAAAGGATAAAAAAATATGAAAAGAGATCAATCCTCCGCACAAATATTCTCTCCACTTTGCTCTCTCCAAAGTCATGCTCTCATCCAACCCAAGAAAAAGTATATCGCTCATGACTCCTCTAATAACACTTCACATTCATAGTCCATAAACATAAATCACTGCTATGGTATTTACTTATGGATTGGGGAATCTGATGTCCAGGATGATGTAGGAATATACCTAAAGCATGGTTGAATTTATGTAATGTCATATTCAATGGTCAACTAAATCTAATTCCAACAAGATTACAAGTAGTAACCAGATTTGGGTAAAGTGCATATGAAAGTATGGTTGGATACGGTTTTTTAAGTTCAAGACTTGGATAATGTTAAATTTTCAAGCACACATTCTCTCTTCATCTCTATCAGGCTATACTGCTTTATACTTGAAACAAAATTTGAGGGTTTGGCAAGAAGAAAGATGGAAATTTTGTTTTGGGATGTATTTGAGTAGCAATATCCATCATAGTCTATTATGAATATATGATCCAATAATGATATAGTAATCACATATTAGAATTTAGAATAACAGGCTGACTACTCTCCCATAGTCCCATTTCGATGGGCAGTCTACTGAATTCTCTTAAAAGTGATCCTCTATGAGGCATGGATCACATCAAACTTTCTCAGTTAATTTACATCGATTTCAATCCTACGAACATCATAAGACCAAAAAAAATCCCCTATGGCTATTTCATCCATTGATACAGTGAAGTAGTGAACCCCATCTTTCAGCTTAAACAGCTATGTTTCTCGTGCAATTACAGAAGTCCAGTTTATCAGCTTAAACAACTTATAATCTTACACTCAAACAATTTTCTTCCATCCTAGGCATCACTAGAGTTAAGATCTAAGATATCCGGTTTAATTTTAAATGTCATGTGTCATAAGTAGTACAGACTACAAAGAAAGCATCTTTAAGCAAAAAGCAACCCCATTTTTCACGCCCAATACCAATTTAAGTGAGCAAACTAATCCCAAATTACCACATGTCAATTCTGCGTTGATTAGTGAGCAGTGTAGCACAGATAGAGAAGATTTTTAAGAAGAGAATGCATGTAGGTACAAATAAATGAGCAATGTGAATATCAGAAAAATCTCTTTTCCAAAGCTTAGCAATTTACCGCATCTGTTCTAACAAATCTCTCAAATTTCTCCTGTGAATGGCCAGATTTACCACGCTTTATATCAGCTTCCTCATCTGAGTCCTCTAAATTGTAAATTGGCTTTCGCTCCGAGCGAACCCGAAGCCTTTCCACCAAACTAGCCATTTGCCTACACCGGATGATCAAAGAGCAGAAGTAAAGAGTATAAAAATTCTACTACGTATAAAATAAACTATAAATGAAAACTCATGTAAAAAATGCTAACTAAAGCGCTACTGTGTTGTCACTGGATTGGACAAAAATTTTGTATCAAACTGAAATGTGAGCCTAGGGCTTTTGAACAGTTGATCTCCGAAATCATTAACCGGGACACGTAAGATATCAAAAAGTTCAGACCGACCTGAAGTCACCCTATATATGCGGCTGGAAAAGACAGAGCTGGTGGCTCAGCCGCTCTCCGTTGATGGTTTAAAATATTGGCAATTCGTATATCATCAGCAAAGCGGAGACCGCTTTCACACACCGGCGAGGTGCAGCTGAACCCGCCGCTATATTCCCCAAACACACCCAATACCTCTCAAGTCGCAAGTATATTAGAGAAAATTCCGAAAACTTAAAATAATAATGTAAAAATGCAAATATTTAAAAGTTTGAGTTTTTTCCTAGGCTAGTATGTGCGATGCATGGGACAATACTATACAAAATTGTAATTTATTAATTTAAATGTGAATATTAAAATAGAAGTATTTGTAATGAAAGTGAAATAATAATATAAACAAACGTATATGTCCAACAAAGATGTCATATAAATAAAATTACAAAAAAGTAGAACATGAGGATTTAAGGGGTCATTGATGCATGGAGTAGTAGCAATCACAATATTTTTTGTGACGTGAGGGTGATGGCATCACGTAATGATTACAGTGTCACTAATTTTCTATATAAAATTCATCTATTTTTTTAGGAAAAATTACTTTAAATAATACGAACTATCATCGGTGAACCAATAATAATATGTACTATCAAAATAACAATTTTATAGCTGAACTATTAAAAGATTAACTAAAAATGATATTGGCTAACTTTCAGGTGATGAAAGCGGTCACTTAAATGACGTGGCAACCAAAGATATACTTTCCCAAACACAAATATACACATCATACTCCATGTCACCATCCATTAGCTGATGTATACTGAAAAAAGAGAGCTTGAAATTTTGAATGAGAAAGAGCCGCACACGAAGGGCTCTGTACGCAGACAAAGTGCAGAAGAGAGAAAATTACGGCCAAGAGCTCTGTACGCACACGCACTGTTACAGAACAAAGAAAAGAGAAGAAGTGACGACGCCCCGGCCACAGTCGCTAGGTTAGGCTCCGACGCTTGACTTTGTTGCATTTCTAACCGTGGAAACGGAAACAACGAACCCTGGTAAGCCTTATCTGAATTAGGTTTTCATCAACATCTTGGAAAATTTTCTTTCGATGTTCTCATTATCTTTAAAATTAGGTTATCATTTATAGTGTGGTTGAATATTTTTTGAAGTTTGATGTGAGCTATTAACTTTTGATTTTGTTGTGTGCAACCATAGGTGTTCAATAAATTGTGATTGTTTTGTATACATGTTCATTTCCCAACCAGATGGGTGGAAATTACCAAGATGATATGCTTGTTCAGAATGCCTCTCAAATCAATCCTTTTGAGGAAGAAACAATGACCTTTGAAGATTTTGACAATTGCAACTCAGGGGATGAATTTGAATGTGAAAAATCACTTGATGAAAGTGAAGGTGATGAAGAGTATAATACGAGGAGACCTGAAACAGACAGTTCTGATTCCGATGAGGAGTTTAAAATGGCTAGGCAAAGGGCACACCAGTACAAAATTGAAGTTGAGAAACAAAAAGAAGCACAATTGAGTGAATATGAAGATTCTGAAGGTGAAATGATGCTCATTTGTGAAGATGGTGAAACTGCTGGGAGCGAGAGATCAAAAAGGAGCATGACTCTAAATGAAAAAACTGATTACAAGAATTTTGAATGGAAAGTTGGTATGTGATTTCCTAATATGAATATCTTTAAGGAGGTTGTGCAAAAGTATGGAATTTTAAATGGTTTCAATTTGAGAATTGGGGTATGTGACAAGCTTAAGGGAAAGGTCGGGGTAGTTTGTGTGTTAGGATGCTCATTCAAATTGTATGGATCATGGCATAGCAACGAGTGTTGCTTTCTTGTAAAGACCGTTAACAATGAACATATGTGTGAGAGAGATATGAAGAAAAATCGTCAACTGACATCTAGATGGATTGCTAAAGGAATATCTTGGTCGCTTCAAGGACAATCCTCACTGGCCAGCTTCTAAAATAATAAAAAGTGTGAAGAAGAAGTATGGTGTGATCATAGAAAGGTGGATTGCGTATAAAGCAAAGCAAATTGCCTATAAAATGTTGCATGGCTCAGTCAAAGACCATTATAATAAGATTGGAAGATACATTGAAGAGTTAAGAAGATCGAATGAGAGAAGTACATTTGAGTTGCTTACGATCCCCTCAAGTCCGGATGTGTTCCGGAGGATGTTTGTATGTTTTGAAGGATTAAAGGATGGATTTATTTCAGGTTGTAGACGATTTGTATGCTTAGATGGATGCTTTCTTAAAACATTCCTAGGTGGAATGTTACTTGCTGCAATAGGGAGAGATGGAAACAATCAAATGTTTCCAATTTGTTGGGCTGTTGTTGAAGGAGAAAATAGAGACAGCTGGGAGTGGTTTTTGACTCTCTTGAAATCTCAATTGAATGGGAGTAATGGAGAAGGGTGGACTTTTATGTCAGACCAACAAAAGGTTAGATTTTCACAAATCTTAATTAACATAAGTAGTATCTTTTTTAATCTCATTAAAATATAACTGACCTATGCTATGTGCAGGGCCTTCTTGCAGCATCATCTTCTGTTTTCCCTAGGGGTTTCCACAGAAATTGTGCGAGACACATATATGCTAATTGGAATAAGATGCATAAAGGAGATGAGCTGAAGTTACTATTTTGGAAGGCAGTAAAAGCATACAATAAAGCTGACTTTGAAGAAGCAATCCAGGAACTTAAGGGAGTAACTCCTCGTGGTGCTGATGATCTTCTAAAGCAAAATCCTAAAGTATTTTGCAGATCTTTTTTCCCTGCAGATAGCAAGTGTGATGTGGTTGTGAATAACATGGCAGAAACGTTTAACGGATACATTCTAAAAGCTAGAGGGCTGCATATCATTGACATGCTTGACACTATCATGACTTTGTTGATGGAAAGGATGGTCACAAAACAAGGATTGATGGAAGGTAAAGAAATCAATGACATTTGCCCTAGAGTAAAAGTCAAACTGGAGGAAGAGAAAGTTAAAGCATGGCAACTGACAGTAACACCTTCAACGCTAACACTTTTTAAAGTCAGAGACTATGTGGATGCTTTTAAGGTGGACATTCAATATCGGGCATGCACTTGTAAAAAATGGGATTTAACAGGTATACCCTGTCGTCATGCTATAGCTTGTTTATCATACCTAAAGGTGAGGGTGGAGGATTATGTCGATGATTATTACAAGAAGGGGGCTTATTTGGAAGCTTATCAAGGACATATAACCCCATGTGTCAGTGAAAAGTTTTGGCCAAAGAAAATCTTCCCTTTGGACCCTCCCCCTGTAAAAGCCCAACCGGGACGACCCAAGAAAAAATAGAAGAAAAGATCCACATGAAGACCCAAAGAAACCGGGGAAAATTACCAAACACGGGGTGTGTATGAAGTGCAGCGTGTGCCAGTCAACTGAGCATAACAAAAGAAAGTGTCCAAACAAGGGTGACTTCTCACACCCCCTTGAGAAGAGGCCTCGAGGCAGACCCAAAAAAAGTTCAATACAAATTTCTGATGAGGCTGTTGGATTACCAGGTGAATCTATTTTTACTAATGAAAGAGTGAGCACATATGCAAGGGCCAGGGATAGGGGCAAAGGCAGGGGAAGAGGGGCATGCTCAGTTGGTCATCATGCAATGTCTTAGGAGTAAAGGCATGAAGGGATAGTGAAACGATCAATGTCTTTTTTGATAGTATATCAAGGCCTTTCTAGTTGTAGACTAAATATTATTTTGCTTAAATGCTTAGAGGCTGATATTTCATATTGTTGTCAATTTTGTTATGTATTTAGTGCAGAAGGCAAGAATGCAATGTATCAGATTCTTGTTTTGGAAGATGGTTTGTTTCTGAAAGTGTAATACTTGTTAGAGATCAGGTCATTCGTTTTTATTCTTGGTGCAGCAGTTGTTTTGTTTCGATTTTCCCGTTTTATTCTTTTTTTTTTGTATTCGTTTTTTATACATCAGTTGTTTTGTTTCGTTTTTATTCTTGATGCAACAGTCTGTATTCATTTTTTATCCATGCTGATGTTTTTCTTGATACAATTCTTTTGTTCTTCCCGCAGTTTTCCGTATTGCAGAGTTCTGATTACTCCAAAAATATATGCAATATTACTCTTTCAACAATATCTTTGAACAACAGTTGAAAACAAATCAACTCCTTTTTGTTTAATACAAACATATGAAAATCAACAAAAAAGTGTACAGTAACACGTAACTACAACTTCAAAACAAAACAGTGTGCATTATTACATAAGCTGCAACTTCAAATATTTTGGGCCTGTCTCCAAGAGTAACTTCTCGTTAAGGCTAAATGTCTTGAAGCAACTTAACAATCTCTTAGTTTGTGTCTAAGAGTAACTTTTACATTCACACAGGAGTTGTAAAGCTTATGTCCATCATAATCGCACTTTGACCCTCTCTCAAGCTTGGTGTAAAGAGCTGTAACTTTTCTCACCTGCAATTTTAATGGACAACAAAATTCAGCAAACAAATGAAGTATAATTTTTTTTTCTTTCAAGTAAGAGCAAACAATAAAACGTGCAACTCCAATTCCAGTCTAAAATATACGAATTCCTGCCCTAAATGACAATCTTGTCTAAATCAGTTCAAAGAAGGGAAATAGCAATTTCATCAAACCCTAACTAATTTTCTCTAATCTCCAAGGTAAGGACACTTCTAATTTTCCCCAAAAAGTATAAAAAATAAAGCTAATGTATTAAAATAAATTACCTTACATAATTGACACCAATAAATCGTAACTGGCCTCTTCACCATGTAAATAAAACCGACGAACTCCCATGTTCCAGATCCTCATCTTTCTTGTTATTCTTCTCTTTTCCCTCTGAACAAAGACCTTTAATTTTCGGTCGGCATCTTTGTTTTCTGCAAATCCAAACCTTCTTTCTATTTCTGAATTGAACTCTAGCGCCGGAGTCTGATCTAGCCACTCCGGTTCCGTCTTTCTTCTTTTTTCTTCGTTCTGCAACCTGAGAAATTTCTTCTGCACTTCGTTCGCGTACAGAGCCTCTTTGCGGTTCTTCTCATTCAATATACCGAGTAAATATGATGACATGGATGAGTAAATATGATGTGTATATTTGTGTTTGGGAAAGTATATCTCCGGTTGCCACGTCATTTAAATGACTGGTTTCATCACCTGAAAGTTAGCCCATATCATTTTTAGTTAATCTTTTAATAGTTTAGCTACGGAATTGTTATTTTGATAGTACATATTATTATTGGTTCACCGACGATAGTTCATATTATTTAAAGTAATTTTCCCATTTTTTTAAACATAGGTCAATCATTAATTAATCATATTAAAACGATCCATAAAGGGTTACTATTGAGTTTTTTCATTTATAATTAATTAACTTAGGTATTTATGTACAAATATTCTCTTTAAGCCAATTGTTTTCTTTAAAAAAAAACCAATTGTTTTAGGCAACGATGTTTTTGAGGCCATAAGTTCAGCCTAATTAAACATTTTTTCTCAGCACATTTATTTACTTCGTAGTAGGCTTTCGCTTGTATACTCGGCCCAGTGAACATTTCTATAACCCTTGGTGGCTTGGTGTAATTCTGTAATCCGTATGCATCAACTTATACCGAATTGACCTAAGACTCTAGATCATTCTCATCGTCTCCCATTCCCGTCCCGTGCGACTTGAGTAGAGCTCTGTAGCTCAGTCGCCATCTCCCGCCTTCACTGAACAAATGTCAGGCGAGCTGAGCTTAGCAGCTTAGAAGCCCACTTCTCACCTCTGTATCTCCCATCTTAGTTCAAACATAAATAATCTGAAAGGAAGCATTCCGTCGTACAACCATGCTCCTCCCAGTCTTCGTCTTAGATGAGACATTGTTTTCATCTCACCCATATGCTGCCAAAGGGCTGCTGCCATTTATTATGCGCCAATCTCTCAGATGGATCAGACCTCAAATACGGAGCTTTTGTGTACTATTATGAAGTATTTTATGCAATTTGAGTTATTTCCTTACATTTTTCGACTCCTATATTAGTTCTTTATTACATTTGCTGTTGTTAAGATTTTCTCTACTATTTATTACTTTTGTAGCAAAATTTGAGCATAAAGTATTGTTCCACTATTTATTACAATTTGAGCAAAAAGTATTGTTCCACAAAAAGTCACGTGTGTGAGATTGGTCAAGGATTTGCAACACACTTATGGGAATTATTGTACCATTAAAATCTAAAAATCATGAGGCAGTTTAATTTCTTTTAAAATTCAATCGTATGAGAACTGTTGTAACATTAGAATTCTAAAAATCATGAGGCAGTGTAATTTATTTGTAATTTATTTCTAGACATGCCTAATCAAAATTAAACAGGAAAACGTAAGTGTTTTGCAATTGCAAAACACATTCAACATCTTTTAGTATAATTAATTGTAACTAGATTTTTCACCCGTGCTTCGCACGGGATGACTTTACTAATAATGAAATTATCAATATACAAATATCTATTTAACATTTCATCCATAGAAACCGCTTTGATAAATGTATATAGGACAACTATGACATATTATTATAGGCTATTTAGTAAATAATGTTAAGGATGTATTGATTGCCCAATCGTCATATTCACTCTGATAAGCTTGAGTCGAGATGAGTTCTATATTATAAGGATTATGCCTTTCATATTATTCATTATGTGGAATATAAATCACAACTTCCAAATTGTTAATTGTTAAAAATGTTTGCATTGTATACAAACATTAGCTTCTCAAATTAAAGATTACTGCCATTCTTGTTGATGACTTTGAACATAATTAAGAATGAATGCGGATTCTATAACACTGAGACTGGGGTAAGACCTCTTTTTCAATGGGGTGAGGGCAATGCTTTCAATTATTTTCTCTTTTACTTTAAAAAAGGTTTGTGATTGATATTGTTATCTTGTTTACATAAACATACGGCTTTAAAATGTCATACTCCGTATAACTCTTACGCCAATAAAATTTATATTATCTATTTTTTCCTCTATTCAATTATTGTTATATTAATACGCTTGGAGATAAGTTTTGATTGTTGTTGTGAATCCTCCTCTAAGAAAAAATCAAGTAATCAACAAAATCTATACCATCAGTCAATTAGAGTGTTTGGTTGATTAGCTTTGGGGTGTTTGGCTTTTTGACTTTTTGGGGTGTTTGGCTTTTTGACTATACCATCCGTCAATTAGAGTGTTTGGTTGATTAGCTTTTCTATTTAACTTTTTGAAAGCCAATAATATAATTCAAGCATTTGGGCATGGCCTTTTCGGTTAGTATCATTTAATCCTGCTATAGGTACCCCAATTTGTACCCCAATTTGTACCACAACCTATTTTTGTGGCTCACAAAAGCCCACCTCAATATATGAATTGTCCCACTTTAATGAGATGCTTTTGTGAGCCACAAAAATAGGGTGTGGGTACAAATTGGGGGTACCAATTGAGGTACCTTTATCATTTTTCCTTCTCTTTTACTTGATGAAGAGCAAAAAATAGTTTTTGCTGGCAGCTGGCAAACAACTTCGGCCGAAGAGAGGAAAAAATAGACCCTACATTGCACACGTGTTTCAAATGGGTTAGATTGTTAGAACAATCCTTTAATTCGTGTTCAAGAATAATACGTTAGCCACACTTCTATACGAACAACTTTTGAATTAAATTTATTAATTTGTGAATCGAAAAATAATGTTTAAAATAATTATTACCTGTAATAATACTTTTTATTTTTTAAAATTAAAAATACAATTTAAGTAGTTGTCAAACAATTTATTAATTTTAAAATTTGTTACATTAATAAAAAATTAATTGATATCCTTAAATGTTTTTTAGCAAGCTATCAGGTGATTGTAAACACACCAAACATCATTTTACAAATTGCTAATCCTATCAGCTAATCAAAACAACCAACTGAATCTGCTATCATCAATAGTTAACACAATCACCCAACAACCAATTGCTAAACATCCCCTTGTATATTCTATAATAAAACACCGAAAGCCGAATAACTTTACATGAATAATTTGAAACAAAATCATTATAAAAACCCACATCTAAATAAATTTTACTTCGTATATGCAAAAAGAGCCATATAGTTTAACATTCTACTTCCATCTAATAAAACCACAAGTAAATATGAGAAGGTGAGTGAATTCACTTGGCATGTTAGGTATTATATACGTATATGCCCTCCGTCCCGCTAAGAACTTCCTACTTTGACCTACACACATACTGTATTAAGGAATTAAATTTGACTTTACTATAGAGTACACTGTTTTGCACTGTTTGACACTGTTTTGCACTGTTTGACACTGTTTTCATGTAGGATAACTTTCCATTTAGGGAAATGAGAACTTCATTTTGGGACGGCTAAAAAAGGAAAGCAAGAAGATCTTAGCGGGACAGAGGGAGTATATAATTAACAAAGCTTTGTTTGGAAAAACAATTTTTTTTTGTTTAAAAAGAAATTCACCAGTGCGTTGCACTGCACGGGTGAAAAGTTTTGTAAAAGAACTTTTGTTTAAATTTAAAAAAAAAACTTTATTATATACTCAATGTGTGTGTAAAAATTAAAAAAAAAAATTGTTTAAAAAAGAGTATGAAAAGCATGTATAAGTTATAACATGATACATTGATACTCCTCCAAAAACAAAGTTATGACGTGATACAGTTACAGTTCAAAAGTCCAAGCAGCAAATATAATTGAAAATGGCTGGAAACCTTCTAATAAAACATGCTCATATAGAACATGCTTTTAGGGTTAAAAAACATGCTCATATAGAACTGGGGTATTACATCTTTTGACATCATCAATGGAAGAAGAAGCCTTTAGAGGGTCTTTAGAAGCATGTAACCCCCCCCCCCCCCAATACCCAGCACACGATTAAACGGTTCGGTCACCCAAATTGCCCTAGTGAGAATGTACCGGTTCTTCAAAATGGCAGAACTGACATTGCTAATGGTTTGTTCAGCAACCACTAAGGCAAACTTTGCCCCCGTTTGGACCATAGCGGATTTGCTCAAACCACTGATATATTACAATAGGAAAACGCTCTAAATTGCGGCGGGTCAGTACTAATCCGCTGGAAAACAAACATACCCTTTGTCTTTTTTAAAACTTCAGGTAACTTCTTTGACCTTTTCATTGACGATTGTTGCTCCCAAACCAATCTTCTCTGTAAGCCCAATCTTTTGGCTGTGTAAGTGGAAGTGAACTGGTGTTTCTCGTCAAAAGACTCGGCTTTATCAACAGCATCGATCATTGCCAAGAACAAACCCCTTTGCCAGCATGCTACTAACCACATCTTCTGCTTTCTGGATTGGTGATCCACCACCACACTAACATGCTTTCGGTGTAGAGAAGCCTCAATTAGGATCTTATACTCACGGTCAAGAACTGACTGATAAACAATTGTAGCTAATTAAAAAGCACGGCAGCTCTACACCATGAGGATCCTTGAAAGTTACATAAGCGATTTGAGAGCAATCATCAGCACTTTTCATTTCCACAAACTCAATTCTCCCGAAAATGAAAAGAACTCCTTGATATCATTCTCAGAAGCACCTAAAGAAGCATTGCTTACTTTCACTGCTCTGACTTGGCAGACCGACATCAATTGAGGATGAAAAAGTCACACTGATCAATGGAGTTTATAACGGGGTGTGGGATTCGAACACTCCATAGTTCAATTTAGTTTTGAGAAGTTAGATCCAACTCTTCTTAAGTCATCCAATATTTAGACCTATATATAATTCTTTTTAATTCAAGAACAACATCTCTGTTATATTTCCCAGAACTAAACATGAAACCAAACTGCCAGCAACATTAACAACAACAAAATGATGTGCTCATATCCCCACCTCCTTTCAAACCACTGGTTTTGTTGCAAGTGAAAGAGCTCAGAGTGCTCGTGATGAGAGTAGATTGCCCATGAAATTCAGAAGTTGAATAGCCATTTGAAAAACCTGGTACTATGATATTCTCTCCCGAGCTGTGATTGTTGTTCTGGCTGAAGTTATAATGAGTGGAAGTGAAGATGGGATAATTGACCTATCATCAAGACATGAAGCCGTTTCCTTTTCCTTCAGCTTCTACTCATGTTTGGTTTCTTCTTATGGCTTTTGGCATCGACCTTAGCAAGCAACAATAATGCAGCATCAACAGGAGCACTGTAATAACACAAACCAAATAATAGGATTGGGTTAATCAGACAAATAGAATGTGAAAATCATAATAGCATAATAGACTCAAGTAATCAAATAAGTGGAGGGTACACACATGTACATCACTTTTATTTTAACTCGCTCCAGTATAGCTTCATAACTAAGAGGAATATGTAGACATACTAACATAAGGTGAAACTGAAACACACGGAATCACGGAATGTAAAAGAAAAGAAAAAAGAAAGACATGAAATGAAACAAAATGGAAGAATCACTAATTTTATTCAATTTTAGAATTATAATGAAAATTAATACCATTCAATTCATTTGTATATGAAGAGTAAAACCCTGTAAAAAAAATTTTAATTTAATAAATATTAGAGCAACCCTTGATTCGTGACATTTAACAAATTAAAAGGTGTAGGATATTCTTTTAAGTTTAACACGTCATAAATTAGAAAATTTCTATTCTTTAGATTGATAAGAAATTCAAACAGTTCACAAATTGACATTATTTAATGTGAAACTAAATGCTATGAAAATTTGAAAAAGTGCAATCAATTGATCAATTGCAGAAAAACTAATGGAAGATAGAGAAATATTTGACCTTAAAGAAGATGACTCCAGGAAAATCACTGAAATGTTGAACCAAGTGAATAATCTCCAAAGTTAAATAAAAATAAAGAAATATAGATCAAAGGAAAAATTAGGAAAAACTAAAGTTGTCATTTATAAGATAGATTACGATAGAATATAGAGAAATCGTGTGGTTTAAGCATTCTGAGCAATATAAAATCATTATGAGCAACAAATAAAATCATTTTTCTCTTACTGTGTGATGTCTCATGTGGCTTGATTAACAACTCAGCAGGTTTTCAAAATTACTGAATTTATTTGAAACAATGGCTGATTAAACCTTGTTACTGATGGAACAATGGTTTAATTAAACAAATATTAATTAAAAGGCAGTCTAGGTATGCCATTACTACATAAGACATCAAGCAATCAAACTAAATAAATCAGAAAAGTAAAAACTAATTGAAAAGATTTAAATTAACAAATAAGGAGTATTATTTTAAATGATCAGTAAAGATATGTCCATACAACATAATGCATCATATTAAAGAATCTGGAAAAGTAAAAACTAATTCAAGTACTAAACGAAGCATACTCCTATGAGGCTGGTGTGATCCAACATTTTAATATTTCCAGCAGCTGAAAGGTATAAGAAATATTATATGACTTGGAACAAAGAAAAAAAGTTGAGATATAGAATGGATGGGATTTACAACATCAACAAAAATTAGCAGATCAAAAACTGAACTGAACGAAGAAAACAGTCCTAAGTCACAATAAAGAATAAAAGATTAAATAAAAAATTCAAGCGGTGATGAAGTACAAAGACACATGATGAGATTTACAGCGGTTTTACAAATTTGGGAATTGAAAACTGAGATTATTGAAGTATGAGAGGAAATTGAAGTAACAAAATGGGGAGATGCTCAAATTACAATGAGGCTATGAGAACTGCACTCAAACTTTCATGCAAATCAAATGAAAATGAAATTGATGTGCTCTATTAGTGAAATAATTGATCGCAGAACAGGAAGGGTGTAAATGATAATAGAAATAGAGGCTCCAAATATAATGTCAAAATCTGCCGTCTCTAATCTTTCTTCCAAGTAAAATCAGATTCAAATAGATAAACTCATGTTAGAGTGAACAATAACACTTGAAAACATGTTTGTACAATAATGTACCACTATTATGTAGGGAGAATCCATGTACTAAAGGGATTAAAATAAATAGGATAAATAGATATAAAATAACAGGATAACAAAACAATATTCAGTAATAAGTTCTTTAGAAAGTGACCTTTGTTAAAGATTTCAAAGAAAATTTTTTAAAAGCACTTTTAAGCCAAATTACCTGAGCTGATTAAATCCTTAATACGAAAAGTCCTTGCTTATCAAACCATTGTTATCGCCAGTCTGAAGCAGCCTCTCCTACTCTGCATCGCTCGCGTCTGGAATCGTTATTATAGATGGCCAGATCAAGTAGCTTGAATCCAAGTAAGGACATAGGTATTGAGCTAGAATGTTTAGCGCCAGAGCTTGAAAAACTAATAGCATACTTGCAATTTACCGCATCTTCATATCCCTTGAGTGGATATTGGTTCCATGGAGGTTTGTACATTAGTACATGACTACATGGTTAGATGGAGGAAGGCCAGGAAAGGATAAGAAAAAGAGAAGAATGGAAGCTTTGAAGAGAGGAACGAAGAGAAGGGACGTGGGGTAACCATATAAATAAGATATCATGGATTATATATGATGTCTAGAAGGGGGTTAGCGGATATTCAGTCCATCCGCACTAAAAAACAATACGAAATGAAAATAATACTTATATCCATTAAATCTAAACCATATCATCTGTTTTTTAATTCCATTTTGCATAATGAATGAGGAAATAGCAAAAAAAAAAAAACTCACCTATTACCTCTCAATTTGGTATCTTATAATTAGACAAATGAGGATTTTCAGTCTTAGAGAAACAAAATGGGAAAATAAGATGTGACACCGCACCCGAACGTCCTTGAAAATTCGATTTAAAAATTCCAAAGTGATGTATTGAATTTCCGATTTCAAAACAATGGAAGAAACGATTAATATTTTACGAAGTATATGATTGAATATTGTATTGTTCAAACCCGCATTCGTTTGTAATTTTCATAATGTAAATTATTGGGATGAGCCTACACATATTGGAGATCAATAATGTGATTTAGGAAGTTGACTTGTTCTAAATAAATTAGGATGAGTACAAAAAGACATCTTTTGACAAAGATAAAACAATAGGACCCATTTTCCCCATTTTTGGAAGTATTGGTAGATAATTTGGATCCCAAATTAATTGGGATCAATTGGGAACCACTCCACATGATTAGAGTACCTACAACACAAGAAAATTAAGTGAGGAGACTTACCTTGGCCGCACCAGCTGGAGGAGGGCTGCACAAGACTTGATTGGAATCAACCTTGAGACCCACCTTGTCAATTTCCGCACAAAATGGTGTGCTGTTTGTCTCCACTCATTATGGGAGTTATACTCGACCAAACAACGTGTATAAGGTGTCTTTGGATAGCTTTTGAAGTCTATTTTCATATTTGAGTGGCCACAGTTCGAGAGGAGAAGTCAATCATCCAAAAATCGATCTGGAACGAGCAGAGGTCTGTGAACTCGAGCTGTGAGAGTGCTGAGACTGTTTGGCCGATATCTCGAGTTTTACCAATCCAATTAAGGCGTGTGAGATACCAAAAGAAAGCTCTCAAGACGAGGAATCCGTGAAGGTCTGGTTTGCATCAATCGGAGTAGAGGAAGGCTTCCAAATCGTCCGAGCAGAACGAGACCTCGCAGGGACGGATTTACTCTTCTAAGTGAGTTGTTAATCCCAAAACCTTTCCATTCATTTTCCAAATGATATGAACGATTGGTGGGACTATTATACACTACTCCAAGTGTATAAAACATCCCTATTAAGTTATTTTATTGATGTAAAGGTTAGATACTAACCTAGATGCAAACATTGGAAAACTAGGAATCGAGTTAGCCGGAAAACACCCGTTCTAGGGGCTGTTTTAGTATCAACGATTCGGGGTTGAAATAGCAACTTGAGGAGGCTGTTTAGCACCCATTTTCAAGCAAGGAACTAGTTCCCAATCTTCCTTGGCCGAGGCTTTAGCCATTGGATCGAGAAGGAAGGTTTTAAAGCTCATTTGAGGTGAGGATCGACATCTAGTTGCTTACAACTTGTAGGTTAAGCATGAGATTACCTAAATGCTTAAATAATGTTTTTCCATGGATTATGATGATAACCTATTGATGGAATATTGATCTATTTTCCAAAGAATGAAATAAGAAATGATTTGGTAAAGTATTGATGAAAATGGAGTTAAATGAACTATTGTGTGAAATAGGCATTTTACTCATGTGTGAATTGTGTAGATACATAAATGATTATTTATGTATTACATTGAATGATTAAGTTGCTGCTACATATCTCTAAATATGTAGGGATTTACAAATGGAATATATGATTGATAAGAATAATCTTAATAGTATTGAAATACTAGTTAATGATTGTTGAAATTGTTGAAGAATTGAATCTAAGGATTTGATTGTAATTGATGAACTTGATTGTGATGCAAGTGACTAAATTGATGTAATGTGATGCTAAGACCATGGTTGGGCAGTCCGTAGGGATGTCCCAAGATAGATTATTGATATTACAATTCTAGGCCTAGTGAGTGCTTAGGAATTGGGGTCTATGCCAATGTAAGGAGATGTACTTGAGCCCGTGCTCATAGAATTGCATTGGGTAGACATGATGAGGTGATTGTGTGCATGGGGATGTAGTCGAGTTGGACTCGAGAATGCACGGTGGAGTAGTTAGCTTATGTTAATAAAGGTGCATGGTGATGTAGTCGAGTTGGACTCGAGAATGCAAACATATGTGTTAGGGTTGGACCCTATGTATTGTTGTGACTAGGGGTCACGGGATTTTGGAGTATGTTTGATAAACAAACCTTGGGCCTACGGGCCGACTACTTGACTTTATATATAAAGTAAGTATATTTTAAAACGGGGTAACTTGGGGTTACGGCCTAGATTATATTATCACCCTATTTGAGGGTCTTGTGTTTGAAATACTTGTTGTATATCTATTAGATGCCATCCACACCAGCACTTTATAGCCGTATAGAGTGCTGACCCCTTCGGGGGCGTCCCACCACCATTTTTCAGGTTGAGGCTAGAGCTTGCTTCCTGTGCTCGTTGCTCGAGGGATCATCTAGGAGGGAAGACTTGGTTCGTGCTCCCTCCATTCAGTTTTAAACATTAATAAACATGCTCATGGACATTTTACTATAGAGCCTGCGTGCTCATGTTAGCCACGTGTGGCATTTGTTTTCAAACTATGTTTTCCGCTATGTATTCGATTACTTATTATGTTTGTTTATGGATGGCTTACGTGTGAATGATATTCGAGACGCCTTGTATAATATGAATGTGTTGGACTGCGGTTGACTATTCGTATTGTACGGCGGGTTGTTGACGTGTCCGGGGAGGTCCGGGGCGTGACAATTAAGTTGGTATCAAAGCCAGGTTCCATAAACTTCATAATGAAGTCTCAAAATTCTCTTTTTGAAAAAGATTTTGAAAACCATGAGCATAGGAGTTTTGTACTTGGAGAGCTTTTGGTACTTGGGTTGCAAGGTCTCTAATTGTTAAGATGGTACCCTTAGCAATTGGTATGGCGGTGACTCGAGCCAAAATGTGTCTTAAGTACCTATCCGTCAATTGACATTTGATACGAGTCTAATGACTCTTTCCAAATTTCTTTCAGAAATGGACGGTGGTGGCAGGATTACTAGGAGAAACCCGACGGGCCGTGTACCAGTGGAGACTGGACAGGGCAGTCGAAGGACCTCTAGGGCGTCTAGGGGAGCTGGCCGTGGAGGCCGATCACAGACCGTGAGTGACGGTCATGTTGACACAGAAAGTGAAACCTACTGGTCCTATGAGGACTCAACTTACCAACCGGAGACCGAGCCGGTTGAGACCCCTTACGAAGGGGATGACGATGATATAAGTGATGAAGGAGGGGAGAATGACTCCCTAGCCAGAATCGAGGCGCTGCTCCAACAATATCAGCGGGAGCGCGAAGAAAGGAGGGAACGCCGAAGGCGCCGGGGAGGGCGAACTTTGGGTGGGGCTTCAAGAGGAAGAAGCCAAGGCGACTCTAGGGCCCACATTGAACCACATGGGGGCCGGGGTGATGGAGGTCCGATCATAAGGATCTCAAAATTTCTCAAAGAGGCGAGAGACTTGGGGTGCAAACCCTTCAACGGAGCGGGTGACATCTCGGTTGCCGCGGGATGGATCAAGAGGCTGAACGAAGCAGCCCTTGATATGCAACTCACCCCCGAGTTTAAGCTAAGGGTGGCGGTGAGGTTGCTTGAAGGGATGGCATCCACATGGTGGGACGGAGCCAAGGGAAAGTATGGCAACACGGTGACTTGGGAGAATTTCCGACAGGAGTTCTTTGCCCAATATTATTCTGATTTTGAGGTGAACGCCAAGAGGAGAGAGTATACCCTCCTGACCCAAGGGGGCAAAATGACGGTGAGGCAACTTGAACACAAATTCAGGGAGCTCGCGGAGTTCATACCGGAGTATGTGTGTGACGAGAACCGGATGGTAAATCACTTCTGGGATGCCTTAGACCTGGAGGTGCGTGAGAGGGCAACACAGTTGCCTAACATGACTTTTAGCCAAGTGGTCGAGCAAGGGTTAAAAGGAGAGAAAGAATGGGAGGAAAGAAAGTTGAAGAACGCCGAAGAGGCAAAGAAGAGGAAGTGGGAGAACCATGGGCATCAAGGTCCTAGCAAAAAGGGGAACCATGGGGGAGGGGGATCTTTTCGGACACCCCCACTGCCACCTAGGGGAAGTCATGGCCCGGGCGGGCAATCACAAGCCTCGGGGGTGACTCGTTGTAAGAATTGCAAGAGGAACCACCCGGGGAAATGTCGTGACCCTCCTAGATGCTACCAATGCGGGAGCACCGGTCACATGAAGATGAGCTGCCCACAACTGGGCGGGACGAGGGCATCAGGGCCAAGTAGTGGTAATACCGGGACACGGAATCAAGCCGGGACTTCACAAGCGTCCAGGGGGCAAGGGGGAGCAAGCGCAAGCAACGCGCCGTCCGTGAATCAAGGAAGGACTCAAGCTAGGGTCTACGCGATGACGGAGGCGGATGCTCAAGCTAACCCGGATTCCGTTGCAGGTATTGCCTCTCGTATACTAGTGTTTTATCCTTAATTAGTCCATAAATTGAAGTTATAAATCCTAGAATCCAGGTGGGAGCAGACGTAAGATTGAAATGGGAAAGGAGAGCAAAACCATGCTACTACCCGATCGGGTAGGGCAATAAACCCTACCGGGTGGGACGAGTTTTTGCCCTCGTAAACCTTCTGGATCGCATACCCGATCGGGTTTGGTAATGAACCCGACCGGGTAGGACAAGTTTTTGCACTCATAAGTCCACTGGAACACATACCCGACCGGGTATGGTGGTATACCCGACCGGGTTTGTCAAAAATTTCTGCCCGACACCTTCTGGAACACATACCCGACCGGGTATGGTGGTATACCCGACCGGGTTTGTCAAAAATATCTTCCAGACACTTTCTGGAACACATACCCGACCGGGTATGGTGGTAAACCCGACCGGGTTTGTCAAAAAATTCTGCCCGAACCCACTGGAACTTATACCCGATCGGGTATAGTATGTTACCCGACCGGGTACACCTCGAAGTGTTCGTCAAATGAAAAAGTTGTCTTCATGAAAGTTGTAGATATTTTCATTGTCTAAATGATGGAATTTGAATCGAACGATTTGGTTAAGTATGTGAAGAGTTATGATCAAAACGGTGAGACAGTGTCAATCTATATCTCAACTGCGAACGTCAACCATAATTGGGGGATTTTGCCCACTTTAAGGACATGATTTCGCATTATGTTCTTCGTAGGATTGGTCGGTATGTTAGAGAGGTATCTTACATGGTTTATAAATGTAGGAACACTAAAGATTAATGGGAGATGTGCGAGAATCCTCATCGATACCGGGGCGCAACGATCATTTGTGAGTGAGGCATTCGCCGGGGGATTCAACGCACCCCTGGTACCGATGGCTCAAGCCCTATTGGTATCCACACCCCTAGGGGAAGACATCGAGAGAGATAGCCACTATCCATCGTGTGAGGTGGAAGTGGAGGGCCAAAACTTGTCGTGTGATTTCGTGCCGCTGAGTATGATTGAGTTCGATGCAATCCTGGGGATGGATTGGCTTGAGAAGCATCATGCTAGGGTCGATTGTTACACGAAAGTACTTGAACTCGAAGGCAATGAAGGGGTAACCTTACGCTTCGAGGGGGATAGGGCAAAATCCAATAGTTGTATCATATCCGCCGTGAGGGCTAAGAATATGATGAGGAAGGGGTGTCACGCATATCTAGCGTATGTGGTGGACAAAACCAAAGAAGATACGAGCATTGATGATGTTAGGGTAGTATGCAAGTATCGGGACGTCTTTCCTAAAGACTTACCGGGACTTCCACCCGATAGGGAGATTGAGTTCGTGATCGAGGTCGAGCCCGGCACCAAACCAATCTCCATACCGCCATACCGTATGGCACCCGCTGAACTTAACGAGTTGAAAACCCAATTGCAAGAGCTTTTGGATAACGGTTTCATTAGACCAAGCCACTCCCCGTGGGGAGCACCAGTTCTTTTTGTGAAAAAGAAAGATGGGACACTTCGAATGTGTATTGACTATCGTCAACTGAACAAGGTCACAATCAAGAATAGGTATCCTTTGCCTAGAATTGATGACTTGTTTGACCAACTACGAGGGGCAACCGTGTTTTCAAAGATCGATTTGAGGTCGGGTTACCATCAATTGAAGATTAAGGAAGACGACATACCAAAGAGTGCTTTCCGCACAAGGTATGGACATTTTGAGTTCCTTGTTATGTCGTTTGGGTTGACAAACGCCCCAGCGGCATTCATGGACTTGATGAACCGAGTATTCCATAAATACTTGGATCGATTCGTGATTGTGTTCATAGACGACATTTTGATTTACTCAAAGAGTGAGGAAGAGCATGAAGAGCACTTGATACTCGTTCTTGAGACACTACGGGAGAAGCAACTTTATGCCAAATTTTCTAAATGTGAATTTTGGCTAAAGGAAATTGGCTTTCTCGGGCATGTGGTTTCGGGATCGGGAATTGCTGTTGATAATAAGAAGATAGAGGCCATTACCGAATGGGAGAGACCAAGGAATGTCAAGGAGATTCGTAGTTTCCTTGGATTGGCAGGCTATTACAGAAAGTTCGTGGAAAAGTTCTCTGTTTTGGCGTCGCCGTTGACGAAGCTCACTCGAAAGGGAGCTAAGTTTATATGGGATGACAAATGTGAGAAAGGATTCATCGAACTAAAGAAGAGATTGACCGAGGCACCGGTACTTGCATTACCCAAACAGGGTGTGGGGTACGATGTCTATAGTGACGCGAGCATCCAAGGGTTTGGGTGTGTGTTGATGCAGGAAGGGAGGGTAATTGCCTATGCTTCACGACAGTTGAAGAAGCATGAGGTAAATTATCCTACCCATGATCTGGAGCTGGGAGCAGTGGTGTTTGCACTGAAGATATGGAGACATTATCTCTACGGGGAGACATGTCACATATACACTGATCACAAGAGCTTGAAGTACGTGTTTACTCAGAAAGAGTTAAACATGAGACAGAGACGGTGGATGGAGCTGATAAAAGACTACCATCTAGTGATAGAGTACCACCCAGGCAAGGCAAATGTGGTGGCAGATGCTTTGAGCCGGAAGAGCTCGTCTGGGGCATTGCTAGCTAATTTGAGGGCATTAAGAGCCCAACTGGAGGTATCCAGCGATGGTGCCTTATTGGCACGATTTGAGGTGAGACCTACTTTACTTGATGAGATCAAGAAGGGTCAGGAAACCGACGAAGAAATTATGAAGATCCGGGAACGCATGCAAGCGGGACCGGTGGAGGACTTCAGAGAAAGAGATGACGGTCTCTTATTATTTCGTGACCGAGTGTGTGTACCGGCAGATGAGGAGCTCCGAAAGTCCATCTTAGAGGAGGCTCATTCATCGGCGTATGCCATGCACCCGGGGGGCACGAAAATGTACCGTGACTTGAAAGAAAGTTACTGGTGGTCTGGGATGAAGAGGGAAATAGCCGAATACATTAGTCGATGCCTTACTTGTCAACAAGTTAAGGCGGAACATCAGCATCCAACAGGCTTATTGCAGCCACTTTCCATTCCTGAATGGAAGTGGGAACACGTGACTATGGATTTCGTGGTAGGTTTACCACGGACAATCAGGAACTATGATGCAGTTTGGGTCGTTGTGGATAGGCTCACAAAGAGTGCACACTTCTTGCCTATCAACACTACCTACCCACTTGAGAGGTTAGCCAAATTGTATACGGATGAGATCGTGAGGCTGCATGGGGTCCCAGTGACCATTGTATCCGATAGAGACCCACGATTCACATCACGTTTTTGGCCGAAATTTCAGGAGTCTATGGGAACGAGGTTGAAGTTCAGTACTGCTTTCCACCCACAGACGGATGGACAGTCTGAAAGAGTCATACAGATCTTGGAAGACATGTTGAGGGCTTGTGCATTGGAGTTCCAAGGAAGTTGGAACAACCACTTAGCACTTGTGGAGTTTGCCTATAACAACAGTTATCAGGCAAGCATCGGCATGCCTCCATACGAGGCATTGTATGGGAGAAGGTGTCGTACACCGTTATGCTGGGACGAGGTTGGCATGGCCAAACTCGAGGGTACTGAGTTGGTTGAGGTCACCAAATCAAAGGTGAAGTTGATTCGAGAGAGACTCAAGGCGGCTCAGGATAGACAAAAGAGTTATGCAGATAAGCGTCGAAGAACCTTAGAGTTTAAGGTTGATGACGAGGTATTCTTGAAAGTTTCTCCTTGGAAAGGGATCATTCGGTTCCAAACCCGAGGAAAACTTAACCCACGATATATAGGTCCATTCAGAATTATAGAGAGGATTGGGGCCGTTGCATATCGTCTACAGTTGACTCCTGAGTTAGAGAAGATACATAATGTGTTTCATGTATCCATGCTTAAGAAGTATGTGCACGATCCCTCTCACGTATTGGAGAAGCCACCTGTAGAGGTACGTGAGGATTTGAACTACGCTGTTCAACCTATCAAGGTCACCGATAGAAAGGTGAAGAAGCTGAGGAGCAAAGAAGTCCCAATGGTTAAAGTCCTGTGGAAGAGCGATCGGGTCGAGGAAGAGACATGGGAAACAGAGGCTTTGATGAGGAAGCAGTATGCTTTCTTATTCGAGTAGAGCTGTGAATTTCGGGGACGAAATTCCTGTTAAGGGGGGGTGAACTTGTGACACCGCACCCGAACGTCCTTGAAAATTCGATTTAAAAATTCCAAAGTGATGTATTGAATTTCCGATTTCAAAACAATGGAAGAAACGATTAATATTTTACGAAGTATATGATTGAATATTGTATTGTTCAAACCCGCATTCGTTTGTAATTTTCATAATGTAAATTATTGGGATGAGCCTACACATATTGGAGATCAATAATGTGATTTAGGAAGTTGACTTGTTCTAAATAAATTAGGATGAGTACAAAAAGACATCTTTTGACAAAGATAAAACAATAGGACCCATTTTCCCCATTTTTGGAAGTATTGGTAGATAATTTGGATCCCAAATTAATTGGGATCAATTGGGAACCACTCCACATGATTAGAGTACCTACAACACAAGAAAATTAAGTGAGGAGACTTACCTTGGCCGCACCAGCTGGAGGAGGGCTGCACAAGACTTGATTGGAATCAACCTTGAGACCCACCTTGTCAATTTCCGCACAAAATGGTGTGCTGTTTGTCTCCACTCATTATGGGAGTTATACTCGACCAAACAACGTGTATAAGGTGTCTTTGGATAGCTTTTGAAGTCTATTTTCATATTTGAGTGGCCACAGTTCGAGAGGAGAAGTCAATCATCCAAAAATCGATCTGGAACGAGCAGAGGTCTGTGAACTCGAGCTGTGAGAGTGCTGAGACTGTTTGGCCGATATCTCGAGTTTTACCAATCCAATTAAGGCGTGTGAGATACCAAAAGAAAGCTCTCAAGACGAGGAATCCGTGAAGGTCTGGTTTGCATCAATCGGAGTAGAGGAAGGCTTCCAAATCGTCCGAGCAGAACGAGACCTCGCAGGGACGGATTTACTCTTCTAAGTGAGTTGTTAATCCCAAAACCTTTCCATTTATTTTCCAAATGATATGAACGATTGGTGGGACTATTATACACTACTCCAAGTGTATAAAACATCCCTATTAAGTTATTTTATTGATGTAAAGGTTAGATACTAACCTAGATGCAAACATTGGAAAACTAGGAATCGAGTTAGCCGGAAAACACCCGTTCTAGGGGCTGTTTTAGTATCAACGATTCGGGGTTGAAATAGCAACTTGAGGAGGCTGTTTAGCACCCATTTTCAAGCAAGGAACTAGTTCCCAATCTTCCTTGGCCGAGGCTTTAGCCATTGGATCGAGAAGGAAGGTTTTAAAGCTCATTTGAGGTGAGGATCGACATCTAGTTGCTTACAACTTGTAGGTTAAGCATGAGATTACCTAAATGCTTAAATAATGTTTTTCCATGGATTATGATGATAACCTATTGATGGAATATTGATCTATTTTCCAAAGAATGAAATAAGAAATGATTTGGTAAAGTATTGATGAAAATGGAGTTAAATGAACTATTGTGTGAAATAGGCATTTTACTCATGTGTGAATTGTGTAGATACATAAATGATTATTTATGTATTACATTGAATGATTAAGTTGCTGCTACATATCTCTAAATATGTAGGGATTTACAAATGGAATATATGATTGATAAGAATAATCTTAATAGTATTGAAATACTAGTTAATGATTGTTGAAATTGTTGAAGAATTGAATCTAAGGATTTGATTGTAATTGATGAACTTGATTGTGATGCAAGTGACTAAATTGATGTAATGTGATGCTAAGACCATGGTTGGGCAGTCCGTAGGGATGTCCCAAGATAGATTATTGATATTACAATTCTAGGCCTAGTGAGTGCTTAGGAATTGGGGTCTATGCCAATGTAAGGAGATGTACTTGAGCCCGTGCTCATAGAATTGCATTGGGTAGACATGATGAGGTGATTGTGTGCATGGGGATGTAGTCGAGTTGGACTCGAGAATGCACGGTGGAGTAGTTAGCTTATGTTAATAAAGGTGCATGGTGATGTAGTCGAGTTGGACTCGAGAATGCAAACATATGTGTTAGGGTTGGACCCTATGTATTGTTGTGACTAGGGGTCACGGGATTTTGGAGTATGTTTGATAAACAAACCTTGGGCCTACGGGCCGACTACTTGACTTTATATATAAAGTAAGTATATTTTAAAACGGGGTAACTTGGGGTTACGGCCTAGATTATATTATCACCCTATTTGAGGGTCTTGTGTTTGAAATACTTGTTGTATATCTATTAGATGCCATCCACACCAGCACTTTATAGCCGTATAGAGTGCTGACCCCTTCGGGGGCGTCCCACCACCATTTTTCAGGTTGAGGCTAGAGCTTGCTTCCTGTGCTCGTTGCTCGAGGGATCATCTAGGAGGGAAGACTTGGTTCGTGCTCCCTCCATTCAGTTTTAAACATTAATAAACATGCTCATGGACATTTTACTATAGAGCCTGCGTGCTCATGTTAGCCACGTGTGGCATTTGTTTTCAAACTATGTTTTCCGCTATGTATTCGATTACTTATTATGTTTGTTTATGGATGGCTTACGTGTGAATGATATTCGAGACGCCTTGTATAATATGAATGTGTTGGACTGCGGTTGACTATTCGTATTGTACGGCGGGTTGTTGACGTGTCCGGGGAGGTCCGGGGCGTGACATAAGAATCGATGTGAGTTGGTATGAAGATGATTTGAAAAACAAAAGAAAGTGATATACTGATACAACAAACGAAATCAGTAATTTGAAATAGGAATAAGAGGAACATGGCCCCTTATCTTTCACCACTGAAGGAGTTTGTGCTCTCAACTGTTGGTCTTCAATATTTCATATACTTCTAATAAATAGGTAACACATTATCTAATACACAATTATGTTTTATCATCTAAAAAAGTAAACAAATAAAATAATCGTCATAAACACAATTGAGATATGTTTAAGATTCGTCAAATAAAAAATTGGACAGTTTAAAATTGTGGCTTCGAACTAAATAAATAAAGAAAAAAAATCAAATGTAAACTGGGAAAATCAGGCAGATAGCTTCCATCGTTGGTAGAATCATGGAATAATGAAATTGAGATTGTAGAATTGATAAAAATATAAACAATACCTTGTCGTCGCTAATTTGAAGAAGATGGCCCAGACCGCCAGACGACATGCCATCATCTTCTGCAACCGTAGCATAGTATGGTTTCTGTGAGGGAGGAAGATGAGAAACCGATTGGGGGATCCTGATTCTCTGCAATTTTGGCATCGGAGGATTAGATGAAGGCCTTCGAAGTCAGCTCCTAATTCCTCTGCAATTTCGGAGAGAGATGAAGGCCTTAGAAGTCGATGAGAAATGAGAAATCGATCTAGGGCTCCAGATTCAACTGCAATTTGGGAGAGAGAAGACCTTCGAGGTTGAACTGTTGAAGATGAGACATGAAAAACCGATTATGAGAAAAGCTGAGCAGTTAAGTTCGCGGTCGAAAGAAAGGGAAGTTGAGGAGCGAATGCGCAGATCTAATTGAGGGAGAGAGAAGCCAAAGAGCTCATGCGGTAGATCTAATTTGGCATCTGACGATGGAAATAGCTAGACGTTTGAGCGGGAGAATGCTTTGGTAAAAGTAGTGCAATTATGTAGGAGGATTTGGTTAAGTTCGTATATATCGTATTTTTACTTTTGAACTTTTCATTATGAAAAGTTAATAGACAAATGGACCAAATAATACAAGATTCAAGTGCCTTCAAACAGAAAAACTTAATAAACAAATACATCAAATAATACAATATTTTACAGGTCGTAAGGAGACGTATGTAAAAAAAATTAAATCGAAACTCCCGCCATACTACCCGTTTGGTAGCCATGATTTTTGGTTTTTCAGGTTTATAAGTCAACTTTTTCACCAAACAAGTAACTTTTGGTTTTACGGGCTGAATTGTGTAATAATATAAAAAAGTAAGGTTGAAGTTACTTTTGTGGCAGTATTGACTGAAGTTACTGTAGAGGGCCATTATAGCTATTTTTTCATATAATTTTTTTCTTTATTTTATTAAAAAAATGTATTTGAATTTTTTTTTTCACAAATCAACAGAATCAGCCAATACAGCGACATTAGCCAGAACTTCATTAATTTCAGCAGAATCGATCAATATAGCCGATTTGACTATTACCAAACAGGCTCACGGACATGTTTTGAAATTACTCCATTTTATTATAATGATTGTCTTTGAATTTCAGTGTTATTACATTTTTCTTTTAATTGTTTTAGCAAATTATTTACTCTGTGTATTTAGTTTTAGTTTTTTTTTTTGTCTGGGGCATCAAATTTCCTAAAGACGACTGTGGCTTTCTTATTTGTTTAATGAAATTGTTAGATATAAGGAATATATACTACATGATGTAAATATTTTTTCCTAAAATTGGTGCCCCTCATGCCTTTGGTGCCCTAGGCACATCCCTAGGTGCCTCCCCCCCAAAGCCGGGTCTAGACATAATGCATGTGATAGTAAACTATTTTTAGTGTATAACTAATTAGTCTAATTATATGTAATGAAACTATTTTTTAGTGTAGTATAGTGTTCAAAAATAAATGAGAAGAATTTAAAAAGTTTTTCTCCCTAGCAGTCTAGGGCTTGGTTTGTTGATGCATATCACCATTTCTTCGGAACTTGTCGTCATCTAATCGATCTCTCATTCAGCATGGCTAACGAAATGGAGGAATTATACTCCCGGCTCAACCTGGAGGATGATGATATTGAGGGAGTTGAACTGGATGAGTTTTACATGATGACTCGCCAGTAGTTGCACCCCTATGCTTCGTCGGCAGACTCCTTACGGACTGGGTTGAAGAAAAGTTAGACAGGATTTTGGTGTCAGAGAACTGGTTGAACAGTTTCGGGGAAGCTACAACGAAATCGGTGGAGGGTGCTCCTAGCGACCATTTGGCTCTTCTTATAAAAAAAATTCCGACACAAAGATTCCGAAGAAGACACAACTTTAAGTTTGAGAATGTTTGGCTTAGAGAAGCGGATTGCAGGGAGATTGTGGCTCGAAGCTGGGGCTTGGGGCGTAGTTCGGGCATTATGGGGCAGGTAGCTTCTTGCGGCAAAGCGGTGGGCGAATGGGGGAATGTCAAACCTGGCTCTTATGGGAAACACATCAGTTTTTGTAAAAAAAGATTGAAGCATCTGCGGAAAAGATTGGACTCCTGGAGTGGGGGGGGGGGGGGGGGGGTTCAAGAGAGTGAAACAGGAGTATCTTGAGCTGCTTGAAAAGGAAAACATTTTCTGGAGGCAAAGGGCAAAAGAATTCTAGCTTTAAGGAGGTGATCTTAACACCCGTTACTTCCAATCAAATAGAGGGGCTGAGGATTGACAGTAGCCGTTGGGAGAGGGATCGGGTGGAGATTGGAAATTTAATTGGTAATTATTTTAATCATTTATTTGTTGCAAGGTCCGGATTAAACGATTTTGTTTTTAGTTGTTTGCGTCGCATGTTGGAGGATCATCATAATTCTTTATTACTTGATAGCCGTTATATTTACTTGTGTTTAACATAAGTATTTATAAGTATTTGTTGAAGAAAAAGAGAGAAAGCAGGCAAATAACTTTAGAATACGAGCTAGAGCAATAATCATTGCCATGAACGACTTTTTGGACCAAAATGATGACGTTCCGCCCATAAATTGAGTATAACTTATTGTAGAGAACTCGAAATCACTCGATTCGAATTTCATGTGAATGTTAACTCAATGAGGTACAAATGTTATGAAGATGTAATGGCCAAAATATGAAAGGAACAAGACTCAATCAACCAATAAAGTCAGATGTTGCTGGTGGGATTTCAGGATGCATACCTCTCAATGTTTTATCCATATCTTTTGATTGGATGAATAAAATCAGATCATTCAAGTTTTGGTGGATAGAAGACTTCATTATCTACAACTTTGGTGAAGCAATCATGTCCAAATTCGTAGCGGAACATCCCCAAAATCCCAGGACAAAACTGGCATCAGAATTTGCACCAAACACGCGCAGGTTTGTTAATTTTCGCATGACACAAACCAGTCGCTTACCCGGCGCCGGGTAGGTCTTATAACCGGCGCCGGGTATGTCAAAATTTCCAATTTTTTATGCACTCAACGAAGAACCGGCGGCGGGTAGGCCTGAAACTGGCGCCGTGTAGGTCCGATTCTGCACAAAACAGTCTAACGTGCAAGAGAATTTTTGATGGGAAAACATAATCTTCCTCAAGTGTGATCAAATATTGCTTCTATACCTTATTGTTGGGCTCGAATAGACTAAAAGATGTCATTCTTTAGCCTATATAAAGCCCTCAATTCATCATTCAAACACATTCCATTCCATAGATTAATTCTTAGTCTTTATAATTTGTTCTTGCTCTTTTTCTTCAAGTTCTTGAGGAGGAAACTTCAACCTCCGAAACCATTGGTGTTTAGGTATTATTTCCTTTGTAATTTCATGTTCCATTACATTTCAATATTGTATTGTGATTAATATTAGCATTAGAGGCTAATTTCTTAGCTAAGGCTAGGGATGAACTTCTATGCCTACTAGGTATTTGATAAAAGTTCTAAACCAATAAAATGTGATTTATCCTTTACATTTTGATTGTTTATGACTATGGTGTACAACATAGAAGTATATTAAACTTAGTTTATACTTGCAATTAACGTTGAGGTCTAAACTATGAACATTAAAGGATAAACATATATATTACCGAGAATAGAAATATATCCGGTATTATATGATACAGGTGTGATGTCTTGATATTCAACGGGGTTTTCGGTAGATGAATGTAAGCCGCAACGGGACTTACATGTAACGAAAACCACGCTCTCGCTGCCTTAACCGGAGTTGAGAATATATTAGCGACATCGTATTCTATGGGTTCATTCAAGGGTCTCCAAGGAACAAGCTAGCCGAAGATGATCTCAAGCTCAAATGCTTCCCCTATACTCCCAAAGGGGCTGCAAGAGGATGGTTCCTAGAACAAGCCCCAGCAAGATACACAACATGGAAATGTATATACAATGCCTTCATGTCTAAATAATACACGCCCACAATGACTCAAGAGCTTAGACAACGCATTTTCAATTTCAAACAACAAAATGGTGAGCTCTTTCAAGATGCATGGCGGCGTTCTAAATCATTACTAAGGGAATGCCCGCACCACCGCATCCCCCTTGATCTTCAAATTGATACGTTCTACAATGGCTTGAATGCATCTTGCCAAGCCATTGTGGACAATCGAGCCGAGGGCTATATTGGCAACAAAAATGAAACTGAGGTGCTCCGAATCATTGAATCTATTGCCTCAAATTCTCAACTTCAAGGAGGCGATTACAAGGTGGTCGGGATGAATGAAATCTCTATCACAACGGAGATAGACAAAAAGGCTTGAAGAAATGGAGTCAAATATGGAGCAAAAATTCCAAACAACTCTACAAGCCGTATTGGGTGGAGTCAAGCAAATAGCCAACGTGGAGAGCATATCAAGCCCGAAAAGTGATTTATCTCAACATCTTGAAGAGGTAAATTATATGAACTCTTACGGGAATCGGGGGGACAATAATTATTCTAATCAACAAAGGTAGAAACCACAAGCAAGTTCCTCACAACCCCAATCCGGAGCACCTAATTTTGGGCAATCCAAGGAGACCACCATGGAGGATATGATGCAATTCATGTCCAAAAGCATGGCAAGCATGAAGGCCCAAAATGAGGAGAATCACCATAGAGTGGAGGCATCCATTGGGAATCTCCACTCTCAATTCACCAAGTTGGATCTTCGCTTTGAAGATCAAAATATAAAGCTCAACCAACGCATCGACACAATTGAGCAATATACCAAGGCGTCCATCCGAAATCTTGAAGTTCAAATGGGGCAACTCGCCCAAAAAGTGAGTTCTAGAGAGCAAGGTAAATTCCCCACAACTACGGAGGTAAACCCGAGGGAGAGCGTCATGGTAATTACCACAAGAAGTGAGAGACAAATGGAGGACCCCAAGATGTCGGAGAGAAGAAAGACACCAGAGGAACAAGAAGAGGTTTCACATACACCGTTACCACCTATTATGCCTCAATATGTTCCTCTCATCCCCTATCCACAAAAGTTGAAGAAGAAAGGAGATGAGAAGAAACATAAGAAAATTCTTGATATTTTCAAGAAATTGAGCATCAACATACCTTTTGCGGAGGCCATTGCAGAGATTCCATCATACGCAAAATTTCTCAAAGGTATCATCTCCAACAAAAAGAAGTTAGAGGAATTCGCAACCGTGGCACTAACGGAGGAATGTAGTGCCATTATTCAAAACAAACTTCCTCCAAAACTAAAAGACCCCGGAAGCTTCACTATTCCATGCTCTATCGGAAAAGTCGGGGAGGTAAAGTCTCTTTGTGACCTTGGCGCTAGCATAAATCTCATGCCCTACTCCCTATTTAAAAAGCTAAGTGTGGGGGAACTCCAACCAACAACGGTTTCTTTGCAATTAGCGGATAGAACAATCCGCTATCCGATAGGCATCATGGAGGATGTTCTTGTCAAAGTAGGAAAATTCTACTTTCCGGTAGATTTTATTGTTTTTGACATGGAAGAGATGGAGGTTCCCGTCATCCTTGGGAGATCATTTTTGGCCACTTCCGCAGCCGTCATTGATGTGCAAGCGGGCACCGTAAAGCTAAGAGTGGGAGGAGACGATGAAACATTCCATGTATGGAAAACACAATCCATACCAACTCAAAACATGGAGGTCAACACAAATCCTTTCATCCCTCCCAAGGCCATAAACATCATTGATGAGTTTAATCCAACACGATATAGTAAATATATGTATGAACACTCAGTTTTTACGTGGAAACCCGGAAAGGGAGAAAACCACGGGACTTTTTAGGCTAATGTCCAAGCCCTCTCATTCTCATTAGGACTCTCCTCACCATTACATAATACATTTTGAGCTCCCATTAATGGAGTCTTGTAAGCTAACTAAGGAGGGAGAAGAAGAAGAAGGATCAGGTCCTTTACATGGAGGGAAAACCTCCTATAAATAGGGAAAGGGGTGAGGGAAGCTCTCCACCCTAATGGGCCGCATGGGCCGGAGTGGGCCCAAATGGCTAAAGTGGGCCGGATGGGCCGAAATGGGCCTAACTGCTCGGGCTCCGTACTGAGTAATGTCTTGGGCTCCTGAACAGTAATAGGCCGGGATAATATATCCCAACACAAGTCCCCCAGTTTCTTGAGTAGTGAGTGCGCGAATCTGCTCGAGAAAGTATATTCTTGCCTGCGCTCTGCCTCTGTCTAGCCGGAACCTGTGTCTTCGAATAATCATAATACATGAGTGGATGTCCACACTCCTGAACGTAATCTGCCGGTGAGGCACCCCCCTTCCCGACAGGGTCGGGCGAAGGGTGCTCCTCCACGGGCACACTCCCCCCGAATGCATCAGGCGGGAGTAAAGCACTCTGACTCGAGCTTTCCAATCGGAGAAGCTTAAGGTCCATGCATCTACAAACCGACGTCGCGGTACTGTCAAAACAGGATGCACGTGTGTATGTATGAATGTATGAGGTATGATGCATGAATGCATGAATGCATGTAATGTATGGGTGCAATGTATGAGAGAAGGAATGTGAGATGTGATAGAAAGCGGTGGCTCTCATCGATAAACTGGGCATGTCAGCGTCGGGAGGCAGACGTGCTGCATAAGATGGTCGTCGCCATCCTAGAAGGGATGGGCGATCCGGAGATGAACTCGACACAATGGCACGGAGGGGCCGATTGTGCTGCATACGATATCCGTCGGGGCGACCCGGAGATGAACTAGACACGATGGCACTGAGGGGCCGATCGAGCTGCATAAGAGATGTTCGTCGCCATCCTGGAAGGGATGGGCGAGCCGAACACAAGCCAGACACGATGGCGCTGAGGCGCTGATCGTGCTGCATAAGACGGTCGTCGCCATCCTGGAGGGAATGGGCGAGCCGAACCGTGAATCTAGACACGATGGCGCTGAGGGGCCGATCGTGATGCATAAGACGTTCGTCTCCACCCTTGAAGGGATGGACGAGCTGAACGTGAGCTGGGTACGATGGCGCTGAGGGGCCGATCGTACTGCATAAGACGGTCGTCGCCATCCTGGAAGGGAATGGGCGAGCCGAACCGTGAATCTAGACACGATGGCACTGAGGGGCCGATCGTGATGCATAAGACGTTCGTCGCCATCCTGGAGGGAATGGGCGAGCCGAACCGTGAATCTAGACACGATGGCGCTGAGGGGCCGATCGTGCTGCATAAGACGGTCGTCGCCATCCTGGAGGGAATGGGCGAGCCGAACCGTGAATCTAGACACGATGGCGCTGAGGGGCCGATCGTGATGCATAAGACGTTCGTCGCCACCCTGGAAGGGATGGACAAGCTGAACGTGAGCTGGGTACGATGGCGCTGAGGGGCCGATCGTACTGCATAAGACGGTCGTCGCCATCCTGGAGGGGATGGGCGAGCCAAACCGTGAGCTGGGTACGATGGCGCTGAGGGGCCGATCGTACTGCATAAGACGATCGTCGCCATCCTGGAGGGAATGGACGAGCCGAACCGTGAATCTGGACACGATGGCGCTGAGGGGCCGATCGTGATGCATAAGACGTTCGTCGCCATCCTGGAGGGAATGGACGAGCTGAAGGTGAGCTGGGTACGATGGCGCTGAGGGGCCGATCGTACTGCATAAGACGGTCGTCGCCATCCTGGAGGGAATGGACGAGCCGAACCGTGAATCTGGACACGATGGCGCTGAGGGGCCGATTGTGATGCATAAGACGTTCGTCGCCATCCTGGAGGGAATGGACGAGCTGAACGTGAGCTGGGTACGATGGCGCTGAGGGGCCGATCGTACTGCATAAGACGGTCGTCGCCATCCTGGAGGAAATGGACGAGCCGAACCGTGAATCTGGACACGATGGCGCTGAGGGGCCGATCGTGATGCATAAGACGTTCGTCGCCATCCTGGAGGGAATGGACGAGCTGAACGTGAGCTGGGTACGATGGCGCTGAGGGGCCGATCGTACTGCATAAGACGGTCGTCGCCATCCTGGAGGGAATGGACGAGCCGAACCGTGAATCTGGATACGATGGCGCTGAGTGGTTGATCGTGATACAGAAAAATAGTGACGATCATCTCATGGCCCTCGGCCTGTCGGTGAGCGATAATCGTCTCACGGCCCTCGGCCGTGCTGGTGATGTGTCAAGTCTCTCTCCTGATTGGCTGTGAGAAGCCGATCATCTGCCAGGACTCCATCCGGGAAGGAATGGTGAGCCTGAAATAAATCTGGGTGATGTCCCTCCTATCTGATCTGGGGAGCTGATCGTCGTTCGTCTACCGTATCTGTGGTCCTATGGACGGACCGCTAAGCGGTGTACACTCGGCACGCAACAGACTCCGGTGGAGAACTGGTCCCTCGTGTCTGATCCATGGAGCTGGTCTTCGTTCATCTACCGTATCCGTGGTCCTATGTATGGACCGCTAAGCGGTGTACACTCGGCACGCAACAGACTCCGGTAAAGAACTGGTTCTTCGTTCTTCCCAAGTCTCGTGAGTACTGGTCTCCTGGTTTCGCAGGAGACGTTCGCCATCCCAACTATGAGAAGAAACATGTTTATCCACGTCGGGATTCCCTATCTCTGTTCGTCCCCAGTCGTGAGTTACTAGTCTTCTGGCTTCGCAGAACACGTTCGTCATCCGTCCATAAGGGGGAGGAACCGGTACACCCTGTCAGGGTTCCCGTTTCTTCATTCGTCCCTGTCGTGATCCTACTAACCTTCTTCCCTCGAAGAAGACGTTCGGTCATTCACCGATCGCAAGGAGGAACTGGTTTACCCTATCGCGGGTTCCCTGCTTCGTCGTCCCATGCTCGTGGCCCTACTAGCCTTCTGCTTTGGCAGAAGGTGTTCATCGATCCACGGGAAATGGGAGGAACTGGTTTATCCTGCCGAAGTTCCCTTTGGTACGTCTAGCCTCCCCCACGTTCCTACTAACCTCCGCGTCGGGAGACGTTCGTCATACGCGGCGAAGGAAGATCAGGCATACCTCGTCAAGACTCCCTCTCTCATAGGAGCTTCTCTCTCCCCTTCTCCCCATCTTTTCTCTTTCTTTTTTTTTTCTTTTTTTTTTTTGAGGGAGGAAAATACATTCGTCGGTTCCAAGAATAACCACAAGTGATGTCACACATGATGGTGGTGGGATATCAAAATGAATAGAATGACGAGGCGATGGAAATGCTTGTCGCCATGCGAAGGCGATGGTCACCCTCCTGAAGGGAGGGGTGAGCCCGATCGCTAACTCAAGAAGGTCGGCATTGGGAGCCGATATACAATGATCATAATGTCGCTGAGCAGTCGGTCCTGATAATGGAGATGGCAATAGTGTCCGGTCAGGCCGATATATCCGAGCAACGGCTCTCATCCAACGCAGCGCGGGGATGAAACCGGTCTTCAAAAGATAAACATGTCGTGCCGAGAGGCCGAACATAACATGATAGTGTCGGCAGTGAGAGGCCGACCTGAAAGAATCAAACAACGGTCCTCGTCCGCGAGGTGGCGGGGACGAGGCCGGTCTTCAAAAGATAAGCACGCCAAGCCGAGAGGCCGGTCGTGGTATGATGATGTCGGCGATGAGAGGCCGAACATGATGTGACAGTGTCGGCAATGAGAGGCCGACCTGAAAGAATCAAGCAACGGCCCTCATCCGCGAGGAGCGGGGATGAGTCCGGTCTTCAAATGTGGAAAACACGCCAAGCCAGGAGGCTGGTCGTGATATAACGATATCGGCAATGTGAGGCCGATCTGAGATAGCAAGCAACGGTCCTCATCGACGAGGAGCAAGGATGAGGCCGGTCTTCAAAAGATAATGGCACCGTACCAAGGGGGCGGTGGCCATGTAAGAGTGTCGGCCTGGGGGCCGATCAGAAAGAACCAAGCAACGGTCCTCATCCGCGAGGAGCAGGGATGAGTCTGGTCTTCAAAAGATAAGACGTCGTGCCAAGAGGCCGGTCATGATGTAATGATGTCGGCAATGATAGGCCGACCTGAAATCCAAGCCACGGTCCTCATCCGCGCAGTGCGGGGATGAGGCCGGTCTTCAAATATAGAAAGCACGCCGAGCCGGGAGGCCGGGTCGCGATATAATGGTGTCGGCCATGAGAGGCCGATCTGAGAAAACAAGCAACGGCCGTCCTCCGCGAGGAGCGGGGATGAAACCGGTCTTCAAATATGATAATCATGCCGTGCCGAGGGGCCGGTCATGGTATGATGGCGTCAGACGGCCCTCGGCCATGACGATCTCTTCTAGGCCCTCGACCTCCGAATGACGGGTGATCGTCTCACGGTTCTCTGTCATGGCATTCGCCTCTAGACCCTCGACCTCTGGGTGTTCTTCCTAGGCCATCGGTTTCTGGGGTGGAGATGTTCGTCCCACGGTTCTCAACCGTGGTGGTCTCCTCTAGGCCCTCGGCCTCTGGGTGGAGATGCTCGTCCATCGGCTCTCAGCCGTGATGGTCTCCACTTTAACTGGCCCTGAACGTCTTTGAGACTTAGGCCGATCGTCTTTTAATCATTTCGCTCGAGCGCGTCGAGCGGCTTCAGCTGCGCAATAAGCATGGTAACGGGCCGCACGGCCCGACAATATGTATACACACATAACCATCTGCATGGCTTTCTTTCTAACACCCACGATTACCGGCCTATGGGTTACCGTGACCCTCGGCCTGGCTCATCGTGCGGGGTTAATGGACGTAGCAGCTCGCGGCGGGGCCAACTAGCAGCCCACCGAACGTCACATAGAAATATTCACCGGTCTGTGAGTTTTCAACTCAGACCCAAGTTGGTCGCACTGCCCTCGGAAAAAGGAGGTTGAGCGCTTTGGTGCCTTCGGGCCCCACAGGCCGCGTTTGGCACAGTCACTTCGCGCCTAATGGCGTAAATGGTACTAGGGTACGATTGTCGCTCGAGCACTCGGTGTCGTGCGGACTAATGCGTAACCCCCCAAATTAAAACGCGTCATCGGGGCACTACCCTCTGGAGACGCTCAGATCGCTAATCAAGCTGACCGAGAGTGGGCCATCGGGGCCACAAGAAATTAAATACTTAATAAAATGTTAGCTGAACTAACCATCACTTGAGCCTCGCTCAACATTATTTAATTCGGGACATTTTATCCCTAATAAATAATAGTGACACAACCGGTAATAGCAATGATACTTTCCTATCAAAGGCCATTCAAGTATACTCCGTTCGCTAATCAAAGCCGATCAGGAGCGGGCCGACGAGTCCACAACAACCCATCATTAATTAAAATGACGGTGAAAATAATTATCACTAGAGCATCGCTCCACATTATTTAATTCGGGACATTTTATCCCTAATAAATAATAGTGATGTAAACATACTAGCAAACGTAATATTTTAATCCAAAACAAATACTCCCTCCGTTTCTAAAAGAAAGTCACGGTTTGACTTCACAGTTATTAAGGAAATAAATTGACTTTACTGTAGAAAACACTGTTTAGACACTGTTTGGCACTGTTTGGACACTGTTTGGCACTGTTTGGCACTGTTTGGCACTGTTTGGATGTAGATTTCTTTGCAAAATAAGGAAATAAGGGAAGTGTGACTTTTATTTTGGCACATCCAAAAAAGGAAAGTGTGAGGTTCTTTTAGAAACGGAGGGAGTACTTTAATTAGTAAGTGAGGAGCCGAGGAGGGTTTATGTGGTACTTAGCTCTTGGAGTGTGATTGTTCGCATAACCATTAACCAAGTAGGCAAGTGGGGAATTACTTTGACCAGGATGAACGTACATCCCATTGCTACAGTCCCCCATCACATTGGGACAGGCTAGCAGCTTTCCTCTGCGACCAGAAGGCAGTCCTAGGCTACTGTGCCTATCCGGTCCTCCACGCCCTCACCCCTTCAATATTCCGCGGTGGCCGTGGGGATAGTCGCGGCCGATCGGCGGCAGTATCGGAGAAGGTGGCCTGCGGGCACCCACGAACGGCGGCAGGGACTTCCCGTTGTGATGTCCTCATCGCGTCGAGGGGGCTTGTCTTCCTTTGAAGGTGAGCTGTGGCCATTAATGGCGGACCACTAGAATCCCTGCCTGGCATGAGGTGACCGGAGACCATTTGACGGCCATGTCATCCTCACCTGGAGCGGTGCTCTCTGTGGCTGGTCTGCTGCGGCTCTGCGGCAGCAAGGTCCTGGACTGGGAAGGCGAACTTCAGTGAGCAGGAAACATCAGCCAATGGCTCACGGCGGCGGCGAGGTTGCTGATGGAGCTCCGGCGGATCCAGATCCGAATAATCCCAGACCCGAATTCCTAACCCTTTCTCTCATTTTTTTTCTTTCCTTTCTTGCTGAAATCCAAAACCTCCAGCATCAAATTTTTCCTTCTTCCCAGATCCAGAACTTCTCAGAATCACTTTTCCAGAATTTTTTCTTCTTTTTTGCTGGAATCAGTCCACTTCGTATGAATTGTAGAAACTCAAGAACAGTAGAATACATGAATCTTTTTGGACAGATTCCCACAGACGGCGCCAGTGTTGAGTTTAATCCAACACGATATAGTAAATATATGTATGAACACTCAGTTTTTACGTGGAAACCCGGAAAGGGAGAAAACCACGGGACTTTTTAGGCTAATGTCCAAGCCCTCTCATTCTCATTAGGACTCTCCTCACCATTACATAATACATTTTGAGCTCCCATTAATGGAGTCTTGTAAGCTAACTAAGGAGGGAGAAGAAGAAGAAGGATCAGGTCCTTTACATGGAGGGAAAACCTCCTATAAATAGGGAAAGGGGTGAGGGAAGCTCTCCACCCTAATGGGCCGCATGGGCCAGAGTGGGCCCAAATGGCTAAAGTGGGCCGGATGGGCCGAAATGGGCCTAACTGCTCGGGCTCCGTATTGAGTAATGTCTTGGCCTCCTGAAAAGTAATAGGCCGGGATAATATATCCCAACAATCATGAAGGCACAAATATTGAGGCCGGAGTGCCCTCCAACACACCACAGGAATGAAAAGAATGGACGGACAACTCCATGGCCTCCCCACGATCTCAAAAAGGTAACATTAGTCAAACGTCTTCGGGAGCTCAATCACACGTGAGAGGTACGTTGCGTCCGGCCTATGACGTTAAATTGAGCGCTAATTGGGAGGCAACCCAACAAATCCAATTATAAATAAATATGTTTAGTTAAATACATATTCATATTTATTTATAATTGAAACAAAAAAAAATCATCTAAACTCATGTATCATGCATCTCCTACTCTCACAAGACGGCACATTCCGCTATTGAAGATTTCATCCTCCATTGCATCCTCCAATGTACATTGAGGACAATGTAACTCAAGTGTGTGGGGGTGTATCTCATGGTTAGTTAAACAAATTTTGTGTACAAAATAATTTTTTTTGGAAGGTAAAAGTTGTGATAATTCTCTTTTTAATGGGTATTTGGTTGAGAAAGTTTTTATTATTCACATAAACTATCATTTTTTTTAGATTTATTACACTACTTTTACTCTTGAAAACCATTCCCAAAATAAACCTTGTGACTAGGAAACACCATCTTCTTCCATTTCCAAAAATGGTTCAAGTACAGCTCAAATATTCAAGAACCATTTTGGAAAACAAGCTATCCTCATATCTCATCAAATAAATTGGGATGATCAAATTGACTTTCAATAAATGCTTGTTGAGAACCAATTCAAATGAGTAAATAAAAAAAACTCATGGTCTCTCCCAAGAATTTCAACTAATCCAATTCTAAACTTAAAAGTCAAATACACCAAAAAGCCATCCTACACACCCAAAAAGCCCTAGTCACAATCCACTCATCTACTCTCAAGAGTATAAGTAATTTTTCTAAATATAATGATAGTTTGTGTGTCTAATAAAAACATGGTTTTGGACCGAGAATGATAAAGGAGTTTACATAATTTTATACCTCCCTTAAAAATAAAATTATTTTTGTGCATATATTTTTGTTGAAACTAACCAAAGCATCCAAGGTGAAGAAATTGCTCGAGGACGAGCAATGCTTAAGTGTGTGGGGATTTGATAACCGTTATATTTACTTGTGTTTAACATAAGTACTTATAAGTATTTGTTGAAGCAAAGGAGAGAAAGCGGGCAAATAACTTCAGAATACGAGCTAGAGCAATAATCATTGCGATGAACGACTTTTTGGACCAAAATGATGACGTTCCGCCCATAAATTGAGTATAACTTATTGTAGAGAACTCGAAATCACTCGATTCGAATTTCATGTTAATGTTAACTCAATAAGGTACAAATGTTATGAAGACGTCATGGCCAAAATATGAAAGGAACTAACAAGACCCAATCAACCAATAAAGTCAGATGTTGCTGGTGGGATTTCAGGATGCATACCTCTCAGTGTTTTATCCATACCTTTTGATTGGATGAATAAAATCACGTCATTCAAGTTTTGGTGGATAGAAGACTTCATTATCTACAACTTTGGTGAAGGAATCATGTCCAAATTCATAGCCAATGCTGGTCCTGTCTATTTTCGGGCCTATGGGCGGGATAATATTTTGGACTTATATTCAAGACAAATAATAAACTATATTTATTTAAAATAATAATTACAATAAAATTATCCAGTAAAGGTAATTAAATAAAAACGAAACCCGTTTTATTTTTCTTATTTAAGTTACATATTTGGTGAAAAGTAACAACACAAGTATCACATAAAAAGAAAAACATTACTTAAAAATGTTTCTCATGGAATTTTCAAGATTCAATTTCTGGTGTTCTAATTTACTCTCAGAATCAGTTTTTTTAGAAGTTGAGGGGTACCAGCTTCTGAAAACTGATTCTGATTCTGCTTCTGCTAAGCAGAATCAGTTCCAAAACACCCCATAGTTTTAAAGAAATGAGGAAGCACAGACCAAATTCAGAATAAGTTTCAAGTATAAGACCCATTTGCAATTCGCTAGTTCAATCGGGAAGAACTAGTAGTTCTTTCTTTCTTGGGAAAACTGTCAAATAGGTCCTCGAACTTTGATAAAAAGATTAATTAAGTCTGAGGTTCTGTCTGGCCGTCGCGATTTGGGGCAGTTCTCGGTGGAATTTTTTGATGAAATTTTTTGAGCATCTTATTCACCAAGTCTAGGTTACTCATACCAAATTTCAGCTAAGAATTCCATCGGGAACACATTCAAATTAATTCTTGAAGATAACTGCGCATTTTTGCATTCTTGAATTAATTTGAATGCGCCCCTGATTAAATTTTTAACTGAAATTTGATATGAATAAACTAGACTTTATGAATAATTTATGAATAAGATGTTCAAAATCGCGACGAGCGGATAGAGTCTAGAAGGACTTAATTTATGAAAGTTCCATGAGCTATTCACATTTTCTTTCTTTGTTCCGGCCCATCTCTCCGCCATTGTAGTTCGCTAGTTCGCTAGTTCTGCTAAGACTTTGCAGATTAGTTGAAGAAGATGGGGAAGAAGATACAGAAGCATTGTTTGGAGGATTTCAGAACCTTGATGCTTCAAATGAAGAATCAAGAGAAGGATATTAGGCTCAAAAGAAGGTTAGTATGGAATATATTACTAACCTGCTTTTTCGTTTTATATTTCATGGATTCCAACATGAAGATATGTTCATTTTTTCTTCGCAGGTGGTTATCGGGTATAATTTTATCACGATCAGAGATGAGTCGACTAGAGTTGCTTCTTCCACCCCACGACAAGTACTAATTGCTATTTTCTGTTTATATTCTTTGTTATGCATTCTGTTTTCCTTTCATCTATGTTCTTGGAGAGTGTCCTTGGAGAGTAATGCGCTATGCAGGCAAGGGCAGGAGCAGGAGCGGACCCGGGAAATTCATGGTGGGGAGGTTCAAAATATTTTTTTGGGGACGAATATTATATTTGGAAGGGGCGAAAAATTATGTTTCTTATATATATACACTAAAACTAAATTTTGTTGGAAAGACGGTAGCCCTTGGGTGTGTACTACGGTTCACCCCTAGGCAAGGGCTTAGAGACTAGTCTATAAGCCTAGGCAAGGGCTTAGAGACTAGTCTATAAGTCTAGCCTAGGCAAGGATTAACCAAGGGCTAAGGCTAAGCTAGACCTAGAAAGTACTCGGTGTGTGTATTTGTATATTTATTTATTTATTTATTTATTTATTTATTTATTTATTTATTTATTTATTTATTTATTTATTTATTTATTTATTTATTTATTTATTTATTTATTTATTTATTTATTTATTTATTTATTTATTTATTTATTTATTTATTTATTTATTTATTTATTTATTTATTTATTTATTTATTTATTTATTTATTTATTTATTTATTTATTTATTTATTTATTTATTTATTTATTTATTTATTTATTTATTTATTTATTTATTTATTTATTTATTTATTTATTTATTTATTTATTTATTTACTTGTGTGTGTAGTATGTTCTTCTAAAGTGATTATAACTAGTTTTCAAACTGGGTGATGCAATTGCTAGACTCAAAATTAAATTGCCAAGTCTTCAGTACATCACATGTCATTAAATACGATAAAAATGGTAAACTCTCTTAATCTCTTTACATAAACTGGGTGATGCAATTGCTAGACTCAAAATTAAATTTCTAAGTCTTCAGTACATCACATGTCATTAAATATGATAAAAATGGCAAACTCTCTTTACATAAACATTATATACATAATACGGAATATGGCTCTGGAATTTGGATCAAATAAAAAAGTCTTAACGTGTAAAATGAGAATTAATCTCAACCGTCCAAAATGTCGATCTGATGCACAATAACCCCTATCTGATGCACTTTCGAATAAGCCTTATTTGATGCACTTTTCGGCATTTTACACGTTAAGATGTCTTCTCATTTGAACTCATCCCTATGGCTCTGAGCCTCTAATTTATAAACGTTATCTATTCTAATACACATCAATAACCACAACTGTTCAAGACTTCAAGTTATATTTTCCTAGACCTTAAATATAGAGTATGACTCCAATTAAAAGTCACTTGTCATGTGCACCAAGTTGCACACTTATGTTTTTGAAATTTTCATCCTTTAAATACTAAGATGACATGCTGAGCTGACGTGATTTATGGTCATGAAAACTTTTTCTTTTATATACACACATACTATTGATGTGCACTTTTTTAATACTTAAGTTGAAATTTTAATATTCTAGTACTGTATATGCTAAAATTAGTGGTATGAAGATCATTACATAATAATAAATACTCCCTCTGTTTTGCAATCAAAGTCACACTTTCCTTTTTTGGATGTTTAAAAAACGAAGTCACACTTCCCTTATTTCCTTATTTTGCAAAGAAATCTACATCAAAACAGTGCCAAAAGTGTCAAAACAGTGTCTAAAAAAGTCAATTTATTTCCTTGATCCTAGAGAAGTCAAACCGTGACTTTGATTGTGAAACAGAGGGAGTATAATTTAAGAAAAAAGTTAATAGTTAAAAACTATAATTACTCTATAATTGGTACAGAGTAATTATTACTCTATATCAATAGTAAAAACTAATAATTACTCTATACTTGGTATAAATGACATCTTGTTTTTTATAATTATTATCAAAGTTGTTTTATCCTATAAGTTTTGAACAAATCACTAGACAAAAATTACGTGACTGCTCACAATGAAGTACAGATTTATTGTTAAAATTATTTAGATATGATGCAAAATAGATCGGAGTGGTGGGTAAATCAGTAACCATCCTTGATCATGTTTCACAAATAAGAACCCAAAAAATATGTTAGTTGAAGCCCAGGCCACCAAACCACCAGGTAGAAGGAAAACCTCTCAACCCACCCAAGACATTTGCCTTTTGAAAACTGTGCTTTGATCCTTTTTTAAAATGGGCATCCTTTTTGTATTGGGGGGAGGGGGGGGGGGGGCAGAAAATGGAATAGTTGAAAGGTATATCATATTTGCTTTAACAGACCAGGAATTGATAGTTTTACCCAATATGCTAAATATCTTAATGCAATGATGCATATCTATAACAAGGGAAGGAAAAAATCATTTTAATAAGTGAGAAAAGAGGAGCTTGTATGAGTCTATCGCTACTTCACTTCCCCCACTTCCTTTTGCCTTCCTATCTCCTATCAGAAAATTGATAAATAATAATAGAAGCATTACCTGAGGGTGTTGCCAAATGGAGTGTTAATCTAGAACAGCCTTCTTGGTTCTGTATCACATTGTGTCATTATTCTACGCATGAGGGGCACATTTCTCTGACTTGCTATTAACCAAGTGTTCCTTTATTTTTTCCCCAATGTTATGTATTGTTCATGTAATTGAGATATGTGTAATTAATTATAAATGTTGCAAGTTGGTGGGATTGCAAATTTGTAGTTGGTTTCTCAGTACTATTTGTAACTCAATCGAGCGAAGTCACCTGTAATTTTAATTCAAGCCTTGGTTTTTTTGCATGTAGGTTTGTACCCGAATCAGTGCTTAGAGAAGATGATGTAAGGTTTTCATAATTTGGTATTTTTCTTTGCACAGAGCTAATGTAATTGTCTGGCCAATTTCAATATTTTCATTGTATTGATGTTTCTGCATACATCAGCACATTACTTTTTAATTGTCTGGCAAATTTCTTTCTTCTTATACAGAAATTTCTATCTGATGCTTCTTTTGTTTGGTTGCAGTTAAGTTATGAGAGCATCAAAACATTTGTTGAAGAGACACTCGGAATGCATAAAGAGACTGAAAGAAAAAATTATGTGGCTGAAGAAGAAATACGACTCTTTGACTCACCTGATAAGGATATAATAAAGTATAGCATCTCCTTGCTAGATGAAATGACCAACAAAGGGCTATTCTCTCTTACTGAGATCTTGACAAATGGCTCTGTTAACTTCCTGAAAACAAAAAAGAAGATGAAAAATATAATCCAAGAGTTTCTACCTAAACTTTTTGAATCTCGTGATGACCAAAGCCAAATCAAATTGAAGCAAATCAAACAACTCCTTCCAGATCCTCAATATTTTTTGTCGAATGAACCGGCTCTTTCAAATCCAACCCAATCATTCTGTACTGCTATTATCAACGTCCTTTCTAGGCTTGAGGAGCTCTCTCTTTTCACACTAGGTGCAATGTTACGAAATCTCAGAGAGGTCAAGGGATACACTCCAAAATCACAACATAAAAGGCCTGGCAGGACTCTTGAGAGCTTGATGAAACAAATAAGGTTAAAATCATCAGAATTGTTGCAAAAATTTGGGGATAGAGATGAACCACCAAGACCCTTGGCAAAAGCTTTATCAGTTGCATACTTGATGTTAAAACCAGAATTGAGAAATTTGTTCTCTTATGTTTCACCTGATATAGAGAAGCTACAAACTGATATTATGAGTGCTATTCAATTGGTCAAAGCTAAAAGGAAACTGAGTCGCATACAATTGAAAAAAATGCGTACTTATGCTCGACCCAGAGTTTAAAGAAAAAGCATCAGGAAAAAGTTTTTCTGCGCGTACCACACTGAAGAATTTGTTGACTGAATATCTTTTAGAGTGCTGCAATATGGATTCTATACCAGAACGTTTGCTAGAAACAGTTAGATTTATTATTGATATATCTGAGAAGAAAAGCGCATCCTGTACTGGCAAAACTAGTGGGCGGGCGACTGGAACCCTGGCCTGGTCTCATCCCAAAGGTGGTAATAAACATTTTTCTTTGTGCAATATTTTTTCTATAAAATTGTATTTAAACAGATTGCTTATTCTGCTCACCCAAAATTTGCATATTTAGGAGCCTTGTCTACGCCAATGCCAACCTGCAGAACGTTTTCAGCCGAGGAGATACAGGAAGAAGTACACCTGTTGCTGAATTTGAGTGCTCAGGCTAAGCAAATAGTGTGGGATTTTCTTCCAGAAAACATATTTGACAAAGATTTTGCTGATGCATACAAAGATGATGATTATGTTGAAGATTGTTGCTATGATGAAGCAGGAGGCGGCTCTGAGGTTCAAGACTTCATCTCAGGTCATATTAGATATTATAGTAATAACAACACTGATGATATAAATTGCCAATCAGAAAGTGTTGGTGAGACCATCCCGGTTGATGATTCCAAATCTCCAGTCTCTTCAAGTCCTGCTGAAATGTTGTCCCCACTTCTTTTTTCCCCTAACAAAAATATTAGCCTCCAACAGGATTGTGGAAATGGGGATGAAGCTCATTCTCATAATTCAAGGTTATTAAGCGCTCATGGACTTTCCAAAATTTCATCTTGCGATGGAAGGTCAGAAAAATATGATGATGATGGATTGGAAGAATCAAAAGCACATCTGGGATTCATGCGAAAGTTTCATGCATCTCCTAATTTCTTTTTAGCTGAAGCTACTGGTATAGTGTCAAAAAATGATGAGAAAAATGGGTTGGTGGAGAATGCGTACCTCATTATCCAAGAAGCATGCGATGAAACAAGCATGTTTGCTTATTCATTTGTTGGCCATGTGTTGAATGGATTGGACAAATTAGAGCCGACCCCTCATGCTAATGCATCAGGTCTAAACTACTTCATGGGTATTCTGAAATAGCATAAAATTTGATTTTCCTCTCCAGTTTGTAGATCAGACACTTATATCAAAACAATGTTTGAAATAGCATATCATGGAGTGGAATTGTTTTTGCTGATTGCGTATACCCGTTGCGCAATAAGGTGCAAGGCTTAATTTGTTGTTGGTACAATTATATAAAAATAATATCCAAATAATCACTGGGGTGCCTTTGCATTTCTCTATTTGGAGCACTATTCTAAAAAAGTATTATCTGAATTCTACATTTTTCTTCAAGAACATGCATACTATTTTTTGTTTATTCAGGTTTCTGAGATTTGCAGACGTGTACCTATGTTGAGCTTCACATTTTTGGTTTCGAATTTTTGTTTGATTTCCTGACGTTTTTTCTCCACTGTTTCCAGATCCCACGAGGACTGTGTGTGAAGATGGTGTGGGCTCAGTTGTGATGAATGCACTTGAACTTCTAGTGCCTTCATTTCCTAGCAGGTACACAGTTTCTGCTAGTTCAGCAGTCACACCTTTTCGAGTTTTTGGCTGTAATTTTGTATGCTGCGTTAATGGATTTCACTGCTCCACGAATGTTCAAGGGAAAGTGGGGGCTTTCGAGTTTAAGATCCAATTTGTTTATTTATTAAAAGAAATACTATTGTAAGTGATATCTCTTTGACTTTATTCCTTTTGATTCTGACTGTTTCTTCGGTACATCCAAGATGAATGATACCATGAACTATGTTAAAGGACCTGAAAACTGCTCATCTGCCCATCTGGTCCATTTATCATTTAACCTGCAAAACTGGTAAAAACTGTGAAATGCGTCCACCTGTTACTAAAGTCTGGCAGTGTACTAAAGCAGGTAAAAAGAACCAGAAAACTATATTTGGGAACATTAAGTGGGTTTTCACTGCTTATTAGGTAATACAAAGTACAATTAATGGACTATTGTGTGTAAGGATGTTTTTACTTGGACTTTTTTCAGTCCCATACCAGACTTACATAGTTATAAAATACATAGAGACCAGACATTTACCAGACCAGATCAGACTTAAACAAACCAGATCAGACTAGCAAATTACAGTCCAAGTAAAAACATCCTAAATGATGTTTTTCTTGTAAATTGATATATGTATGTGTGTGTATAATATTTATGATGTTCAATTTTTTTGGTCGATAGTGACCGCCTACATGGATCTACCCGTTGTTTTCCTGCTTGGTTGGTAATTATATGGTTGAAAGTTTATGTAAAAATAACTGTTAAGAATATAAGTCAAATTAATAATATAACACTGTGCTGTAATTTTCTCTAATCTCGCACACTTTTTATGCAGAGGAGGTAAAGAGGAATTGAGAGTGTTCATGGGTCTATAGAGAGGGAGGGAGTGAATTAATCCCCCATGCAGAAGCAGCAAGTAGAGAAAAAGTTATATTCAAGTTGGTTTGTATAGGTTATAATATATTCATGAATGTATTACGGAGTATCTTTTTATTTATCATCATGTCTGATTGTGATTGATTGGCGCTAGGGATGGGACGGGTCGACCCGTCACTGTGTAGGCCCGACCTGGCCCGGTGAACCGGGACCAGGACTGAGGCCCGAACCGGCCGAACCGGGTGGTTAAACTGGCGGGCTACGGGCTTCGAAAAAGGTAGACTGGCCTGTCCGGGCCAAGCCCCGTCAGGGCCTATTTTTTTTTTTTTTTTTTTTTTTTTTTGGCATTGGGTGGGGCTGGGCGGTTTTGGGGGTTTGAGGGTGGGATTGGAATTATTTCGAAAAGACAAAAAAATCATTTGGAGCCCAACCTGACCCGGTCTGGTCCCGTACTAACTCAAGCCCGTACCAGGCCTAAATATATTTGGACCTGGAGCCCGCCCAAGCTCGGCCCGACCTGGTCCACACATAATTTGTGCTATAGAAGTAACAGATGTTCGATTTTTTATCATGCGTTGTTTGGAATGAAATTCATCTTTCTTGCTTTGTTGCTTACATAGTTACATTAGTACTTTTGGGAAAAAAGAATAAACCTTTCCTGATGTATTTATTTCAACCCCCCAGAACGTAAACTCTTCCGCACTATTCTGCAAACAGCTCGTTTGGTAGCACGAAAATTAGTTGTTTTGACTGATTCTGCTTAAATTTATGAAATTTTGGCTGAAGTGACTGCATTGTCTGATTCTGCTGATTTAAAATAAATAAATAAATATATTTTATCAATAAAATAAGGAACTAATTATATGTAAAACAGTTAAAGTGGTCATCTACAGTAATTTCAGCCAATACAACCAGAAAAGTAACTTTAACCTTACCTGTGACACCGCTCCCGATTTAAACTTGGATTTATTAATCCATTAATATTAAAAATCAGAATAATAGTACATATACTAAATTCGATAAGGATGACTAGTTAAAGTCATGAATATATATTCACTTTGAAAATTAGTTACAAGTATATTGATCATACTAGAAATGATTAATTGATTAAATTAATACCGATTTATTAAATTGTGGGTCGGACCCCAAACATGGGGAGGGACTAACTAATATATATTCTTGGACCAAGATAAATTAATTAAAGCCCAAGGATAAGGAAGTAAGTACAATATTATTGTTTGGGACGGACCGAGTAAACAAGTGGCATTCTAGCCCATATTACCGAAAATAGCAAGTATAAGGTTGAAGGGTTTCCTACACTTTAATTCGGGGTATTCCGTATAAAGTGTAAACCATAATCAATGGGAGGATTAATTTATAAATAGCTTCGGGCCGGATTAATTAAAAGGAAGCAGCCCGTGAACCGAACCCAAACAAAATTGGCCCAACCTTCTAAAAATAGAAGATAAGGGAGGGGAGTCTCCTTATCCTCACACTTGGGATGTTTACGTGAACCATAGAAAGGAGGGAGTGCCTTGGAGGGTCTCCTTATACTCATACAAGAGCTCAGGGAGAAAAGGGAGTGAAGGAGAGAAGAGAATCCAAGAGGAAACGAAGCCTAGCGGTAAGAATCTCGTAGCTCCGGTTCTTGTTCTTCCTTTTTATACAGTTTTCGTATATGATTTTATAGAAATCATATGATGGATTCTAGGGGATGTTCTACACGTTTATAAGTGTAGAAATATGATATAAAGTGTTGGTAATTAACTTAGAAGAGTTGTGGAATCGATAGGAATCGAAATCGCCGGAAACCGCCACTTCTAGGTGCTGTTTTCGTGCAGCAGAACCCGAAAGCCGGGCAGCTTTTGCAAAAGCCGGGCGGCTTTTGTCCTCTGCCAGCCAAGGTGGATTCAGATCATTCCCGATCGAAGGTTTAACGTCGGGGCTTCAATAGGCAACCTTGCTGGACTTATTTAAGGTGAGGATGGCTGACTATATTGTCTATAACTCGTGAGTTGAGCATGAGATTACCTAAGTAATCAAATTATGATTTTGATGGAATTAAATGATATACTCCAATGTGAATAAATGTGTTGCTATGTGGTGATACAAATTGATACATGATATTACTAAGGTGGATAAGCAAAGACATTATGCATGAGGGGAGAAATCCTTGAAATATATTAATTATTAAATTGATATAGAGGATTAGCATGATATAGACAAATGTTGATAAATGTGTGATTCCATAAGATCTTAAAAGGGATATATGGATACCTATGTGGATAGGCAAAATGATTAAATGTGAAGTAAGGAATACTTGAGTTATTGACATGATCAAAGTGATATGAATCCGTAGTGATTAATTGTATGTGCTATCTATAGTATTGAATTAGATAGGCATGAACTTAGAATGAGTGATGGACTATGGTCACACTCAAAGGAAATGGTGGAGTCTACCTAGACTATATGAAGGCAGCCCGGGGAGTCTTGATGAAGACTAGCCCGAGGTTGATAGATTATGATTGCTCGTGTACAATGAGTATACGGGGATATATATATACGGGGTGTGTAAGCCCTAACGAGATAAAAGATATTACGCGGGGTGTGTAAGCCCTACACGAATAAAGTATTACGCGGGGTGTGTAAGCCCTAATGAATAAAGCATTACGCGGGGTGTGTAAGCCCTAATGAATGAAGTATTATACGGGGTGTGTAAGCCCTACATGATAAAGTATTACGCGGGGTGTGTAAGCCCTAAATGAGTAAAGTATTACGCGGGGTGTGTAAGCCCTAAATGAGTAAAGTATTACGCGGGGTGTGTAAGCCCTAAATGAGTAAAGTATTATACGGGGTGTGTAAGCCCTACACAAACTAAGAATATACGGGGTGTGTAAGCCCTAAATGAATCAAAGATATAATGCTGGGGGTGTAAGCCCAAAATGAATGAATACACCCGTAGGGTGGGTAAGTCTAACGTGGACGAGTACAAATGATAAATTGTGTAACCCTCTCGATGGAGTTGGGTATAGAGTAGGGGTGGGATAACCTCTCGATATTGCTATATGCAAGAATAGGCCAAGGGCTGTACAAGGGGAATTGTTTTGAAATACAAATGGACCTACGGGTCGGCTATTTGACTTGATATATATATTCTATACAAGTGATTTGAAATGGGGTAGCTGTAGGTTATGCCCATAATATAGTATCACCCTATTTTGAGGGTCTTATGTTTGAAACATGAATTATATTCAGTATAGTTGTCATTGTACTTGTCAAATGCTTCCAAGTACTGACCTCCCCTTCACGGGGGAGGCCACCTCACAGTTTCAGGTAGAAGCTAGAGCTTGCTTCCTGTTCCCGTTGCTTCGGGTGATCCATGGAGAGAAGACGTGGTTCGTGCTTCTTCCAGTTCTATTTTGATATAAATAAAATAATGCTCATGGAACTATTTTTAAATTATAAATGATTTGGGAGCCTGCGTGCTCATGTTCGCCCTGTGTGGCCTTTTACTTTTAAAAGTATTTGTATTCCGCTGCGTATATTTGAAATGCTTTATTTATGATTGTTTATGGATGTACTTGTGTGAATGGTATTCATGTACGCCTAGCATGGTTCGAGTAGGGTGAACTGCGGTTGCCTTAATCGGGTTATGCGGCGGTTGTTAGCGCGTCCGGCCAGACCGGGGCGTGACATTACCTTTTCTGCTTATTACACAATTTAGTGCGCGAAAACAAAACTTACGTGTTTGGTGAAAAAGTTGGCTAATAAACCGAAAAACAATGTTGCCAAACGGCCTCAAAAAGTTAAAAACAAAAATAAATAGTAATTTAAATTATCTTCTAAATATACGTTTTTCTGACATCTAATACGAATCTTCAAAGGAAAATTCTCAGAATAGGACTAAATAAGTTTGAAATTTTCAAAATAGGATTGTCATTTTTTATTTTTAAAATAGGAGATAATGTCAGGTTTGGAAAATATTGCAATCTTTAAAACTTGGTATTGCCAAAACATGACAGAAATTAGTCATATTTTATTGGGAATAAAAGCATGACAATCATATTTTAGAATATACAAACATTTTTAGTTCTATTTAGGGTAATTTCCCATCTTCAAACTATTAGAGCTTTTTTGACATCATCGAATGCAAAAAAAATGAACAGGCCCGGGGACCGGCCTAGACCCGGTGGAAACCCGGGCCGGTTCTGAGCCCGTAGTCAAACCCAAAAAGCCCGCCCAGGACCGACCCTGAGCTCGGCCCGACTCGAAGCCTGGCCAGGCCCGGGACCGGTCCATGCTTAGTTTCACTGTATGCTTTCTCGGAGATTCAGTGGGATTTAAATATAGTTTCTTTTCAAAATCCTAGTTTAAAATACCTTATATTGATTTTTATTTGTGATTGAACCAAAATACCCTGAAAGATTTGGAGCACTGCTGCCAAATCTTTTCCATAAATTTTATGACGAGCAGCATGAAAATCTGTTGCCGCTAGATATTTGTACTGCCAACAGAATCTGCAACCACTGCTAGGTTCCACTCTCGCCACTATGGATGGATCCCACCACGCAATGGAACTAGGGGGCAATTAATTAAATTAGGGGTAGGAAAGAAATAATTAATCCTATTTAGAGAAAATCAAACATATGACCCTATTTTTGGAAGAAAAGTATGTTTAACTCTTAGACAATTTTCTCTATATATTTGGTTGAGGCGTGAAAGTTTATACTAAGTGCAATCATAGCCCATTCCTGTGAGACCCCCCAATAATGGTTGGGGTGGTCTGGTTCAACACTGATACTCATTGATTATTTGACTAAAGACTGAACTGAAAAAATGGTTCTAGACTAGAATCAGTTTTGAAACCGGATCGAGTTCCATTTCTTCTAATATGGGACCGGTAATTCGGTAAACATCGAATCTTTTCCACTTAGCCCCTGTTTGGTTCAAATGAGGGGAGGGAAGGGGAGGGTAAAGGAGGGAAGGGGAAGGAAAGAAAAGGAAGGATTTTAACTAGCATTTGTGCTTGGTTGGAGGAAAGGGGAGGAAGGTTTAATAAAATAAATTTCCTAATATACCCTTGTTTGATAAGTATCTTATCATTAAAAAAAGGTTAAGGAGTGGTCTGAATTCGACCACCCG